ACAGCTGGTGACATTGACCGAGAAGCATTGTACTTAACAACTTGACTTACAGAATTGTAACCCTTTGTGCAACTACATAAAGTTTCAAAGCTTGGCTATTAGAGGTAATCATTAAATAGCTTAGATATATAGTCTGCATTTTTAGTATAATAGACTGGCTTCATAAATACTACTGGCAAAACATACTAGACACAGGCATTATATTCTGGTGGTAGTTGGTATAAGTAAACACTTTTGTGGTTATGGAAGAAATGAAAAGAATTAGGTTTTCTCGCCATAAAGACAGTGGATTCTCGGTCGTCTGTAGGGACATCTGATAGGGTTACTTTCACCTTGAGTGAAGGAGTGTTAGGGTAGCCTCGTTTAGGACCGATGGATGAGCATTCCTCCAGTGTGCTTGGAGACTTGGAGGGACCTTACTGCCCATCTTTCTTCTGTTCATGTTTCTACCCAGATGTTTTCAGCCTTCCTACCAGACACTGGAACACTCCAGAGGTCTTCTTAGCTGCCATCTGGGGATGGTGCTCTGAGTTACCAGTTACTGTTCTTACTTCGTTCATTCTTCTGAGGAAACTTGCTGGCTTTATTAATCCCCAAGTCTCTTCAAGATGGGAGTGAAAGGAAATTACACTCCTTTCTTCCCACTGAAGGTTGTTTATTCCTGCTCCCACTCTAGCCCTGATTTATGCTGGCTTCCTTTCTGTCTAGGGGTGGCTTTCATGTTCATTGAGGCTCAAGGCCGTAACATTTCATCGAAGCCAGACGATTTTGCCTCTGAAGTCAGTTATCTGAGCCAAAGTTTCTGAAGGCAGAAAAGAATCAGAAGACAGCCTGGAGCGGGTGGGAAGTGGGTTCTTCAAAGCTGGAGGAAATAGTACTGTTTTTGAATTGACTGCGCCCCGGTCGGAGCCATCTGTGTGACCAACGGAGCAGTAGGGTGCTCAGTACCGACACGTGTGCCATTACATACTCTGGGGCTTACACATGTCACCTGGGAAGTGCCACATGGCCTGAGTCCCAGCATTTTAGGACCTGAAGATATAAAGGAAAGTAAAACAAGGACAGTCTGAGATACAGTAATAAAAAGGCTCTGTGAACATTGATCATTTAGGTGGATCTGTAGCACCCTTTTTGAATAATGCTAGGGGACAAATACTGTAGTTTAAGTTTTGTGCCCCATCTTAGAATTTTAGATTTGGGAGGGAATCTTAGACCACTGCCAATAAATGAGCTGTTATTCCTCTCAGAGCACAATCGCCCTATCCTTCTTCTCATTAACTTTCCATTTTCCATTAAGTAGGAGCAGCAAAAGAGAAAATCCAATCATGTATAATCTCCAGTTAATGGGCATCTATTGAGCGTCTAGGTCACCAGAAAGAATACTTATACAATGCCTCTTCGTGTAATAAACACAAAAATCAAAAGATAACGCATTCCCAAGGCAAGCCAGATTGTTAGTAGCTTATAGAACCCTTCTCTTCAGGGAAAAGTTTGGGGCAGCTATGGTGCTTGCTAAGGGCCATTCCTGAAACTAGGCTAGCAAGAGAGGAAAAGTGGGGGCACATTTCCAAAGCCTTTGTCCCCTTTAATTGCCAGTCTTCTGAGTAGCAGGCATTCTAGTAAACGTTTTGTGCAATCATTGGAACTTTGTAAATCTCTGAGGGTTTTTTTCCTTTTTTTTGCCACAAGTAAAAGAATAGGTACAGTGACAGAGCTGCTGTGCCACTCCCACAGTTTAGCCTTGATAAGTAAAGACTGTGTGCTTGCTTTTGTCTGGCTACTACTGATTTATGAAAGATAAGCCTAACTCCCTTCATCCAAGTGCCACATATTTTCCACAAGCCAAAAAGTTCTTGGATTTGTGTTGATAAGCTCTAATTTGGGTTCTCAAGATTATGTCTTGTGTTTGCAAAACTCAGCATAATTCAAATAACCTGTTTTTCCCCCTTAGAACACATCAGTTATGGAAGATCAAAATGAAGATGAGTCCCCAAAGAAAGATACTCTCTGGCAGGTAGGAATGCGAAGATAGCAGTTGACAAACTGTAGATGAGTCCCTCCCAAGTTGGCGACCTTAGTGAAACCAAGAGCTGAGCCTTTTCTCTTCTTTTCTCTTTTGTGTAGTTTTGCTAGTTTCAGAATCCACCCTACTTTATCATCTTTTCCAGAGGGGAGTGGCACTGCACATAGTAAAGAATTTTGGAGTTTTCACAAAGATTCTCTAACGTGGCTATAGCTAAAAATGTTTGGTAGGTGGCATAGTTGGGCATCACTCCAAATGTATATAACATTGATGATTTTTTTTTTCTTTAGCTCCTGATTCCCACTTTCTCTTTCATATTTCCTACTCATTTTCTTTTCCCCTTTTGTCTCCTCTTCTCAACTCTGTTTTAGTTATCAATTTTCTTCCAATACCCCAGATTTTGGGGAGGGTTAGGAGGAAGAACATGCAGTTTCATGGTATATCTCCTTCCCCAAGGCAAAACAAATCTAAATCTGAAAAGAATAATATGAAAATTCTATGAGCTCACTTGATTTAAACCTAAAGCAGTAGATTAGTTAACAAGAATAATGTATAGCCAGCATATTTAATATGAAATAAAAAATGTGAGAAAGATTTTACTGGGCTGAGCAGGGAAATGGAAGTCAAATATGAAAAATGCTACATAATGACACTGGTTTTGTTTTTGGGTTTTTTTTTTTTTTGCATCTTTTATATCCATTATTTTACAATAGGACTTTCTTCATTTTCAAAATTGCCACAGTTCTAAACACTTACAGTTAGTTTGTTCATGGTGTACAAATACTTTTAAGGAAATTAGTTGGTTATGAACCTGGCTATTAATGGAATAATGACCCCTTTGCTTTTAAAAGGAAATAATGGGTTTGAAAGTGCTTTGTGAATTATAAACCATGCACAAATGCAAGCTAATAGCATCATTATATTTAACCTGTTATGAAGCAATTATTTTGTAAAATTATTATCATCATCAAAAATGTATAAATGAAGGAGAAAAGAAATGTGACTTATTCTCAAGATGAGATACATTTGGTATTTCTGTATATACCCTTTATAGGGGTGTGCTCCCTTACTGTGATCATAGTGCTGCACCTTTTTTCCTTAGTATTATTCCATGTGTGTGTTCTCTTATTATGGTTTTACTTTATGAACATAATTTTAGTGACTGCATTCTAGCTTTCTATGGAGGTGTGTTATAATTTAACCAGTTGCCTATAATTAGGCAGTTTAAATTTTTTCACTTACAACCTAGTGGTTATTTTATTCTTAAAGATAGCACAGACAGCTTTTTTATGCCTTGATATCAGTATTGTCATAACAAATAATTTTTGCTTCATGTCTATTTTGAACTCATTTTTGGAGTCTGTTAGGAATGTCTTTCTACAAGCAAAATTACAATTCTTTTGGTCATTGACGCCCCCTGGTGGGCACTGGTGCCCTGCGCTCTCATCCAGGTTCCTGGGGGGACAGGACCTGTGGGCAGTGGGTGATGAGATTGGAGAAGTGGAAAGGAAGTGTGTCCAGACCCCACCTCTAACGCAGATGCCAGGGTTTACTTCAGACAGGAAACTTAGAAGGTTGTGGGTTTGTTTTTTTAAAGAATGGTTGGAAGCTGATCTGGAGATTAACAGAGGATGTTAATTCTACTTTAAGATAGGTGACATACCAATAGCAAACGTTCTTGGTTCTTTCTGTGTAAGGGTCTGAAATACAAGGGCGTAATGAAGTGAACAGACATTTGTGATTCTGTCTGATATTACCTGGGGAGAGGCTATCAGGGGTGATGGGTAGATGACTCGATTGTCAAATGTTTGAGAGCAGGGATTATTTTGTTTATAAATAGGAAAGTTATTGGTCTTTTCAAATCAGTAGCAGTTGTGGCTTGAGTCTAGAGATTCAGATTATTTTTCAAGACAATGCCTAACTCTTCTCTGGGGCAGTATCAAGGATTAAACTCTTTCAATGAGCTATGTTCCTTGTCGTATCGTTTTGATTAAAAATGTACACACACACCTACATACAGAGATATGCCATCCAAGGACATATAGGTAGATTTGATGAAAAATTCATATGGTAGAAGAATGTATTTGTTACTCATAAAGTGCCTACTTGAAACAAGAAACCTTCTAGATGCAACATGGTTTACTTTGAATAATTTTCTGAGAAGATACGCAGAAAGTCTGAGAATTTGTTAGAAATACAGATTCTCAGGCTCTCTAGATAAGTATGATCAGAACCCTGACAGCCTGGACTGTGCGTGTTCAGATCTGTGCATCCACAAGAGAGTAGCTTCTTACCTAGACTCCTTTGCCTCTTGTGTCTGCCTGCAGTCAATATTAGGCTGAAAATATTCAATGGAAAATTTGAGAGAGTGGAGGAGGTAAAGATAATCCCATATTCACATAACTTTTATTTCAATATAGTTGTATTGTTGTTATATAGTTGTTTTATCATTGTTATTATTTCCCATAAGCTAATTGATAAGCTCAACTTTACTATAGATGTGTATGTATATATTTATGTTGGTATGTAAATGAAAAACATAGTATGTGTACTGTTTGATATGTACTATCAACTCTTGCAAGGGTCTTGAAAAGTTAACTCATATATAAAGAGGACTATTGTATATTGCATTTACTTCCAATTTTGAGGAAGTAAAACAAACTATTAATAGTCAATAACAGCATTTTGCCATCAGGAAGTTAATTCTTCTCCAAAATTAGTGTCTAATAGCACAAGTTTGGAATAAGCATGGGAGAATGGTTATTTAACTTTAACTGACATTTAGCTATAACTTCTGCGTTTAGTGTGGTGATGAGTGCATTTTTAATTCCTTACTGCATCAACTAATAAAGAAGTCTTTGACTTTCAAGTAAAATTGCTTTCTTAAGATTACTTAAGGGTATAAAGCATTTCTAAAGAAATACCAAGTAGATCTCTTTCTTTTGTCAAACTATCCATTTGTTATTTTCTAAAATAGATAAGCAATGGAACATCATCTGTGATCGTCTCCAGAAAGAGGCCATCAGAAGGAAACTACCAGAAAGAAAAGGACTTGTGTATTAAATATTTTGACCAGTGGTCTGAATCAGATCAAGTGGAGTTTGTGGAGCATCTTATTTCACGAATGTGTCACTATCAGCATGGACATATTAACTCTTACCTGAAACCCATGTTGCAGCGGGACTTCATTACAGCGTTACCAGGTAACTGTACGGACAGCAGCCTCGGGGTCTGGTGGGGTGAGTGCATGTTTCTGAAGGGAGTGAGTGAGGACTATGTGAACCATTGTTTGTGGGAGCCATCCACTGTGTTGGTAAATTAAATTTCAATTCTTTGTCATGTGCCATTGGTTATTACTCCCTTCTATTCATTTAGTTTTTTAATTGCTTTTTAAAAGAAATGATACTTTTACATTTTGATGGAACCTATATGCAGTCTTCACTTTGCCTTCATGTGTTATATATATAATAATATGTATATATTACGCGTTATATAGATGTTGTTTGTTTTTTGTGCTTATCCTGGGGCTTGAACTCAGGGCCTGGGTGCTGTCCCTGAACTCTTGCTCAAGGCTAGTGCTCGCCACTTGAGCCACAGCTCTACTTCCAGGTTTGTTTGTTTGTTTGTTTTTGTTGTTGTTGTTTTTAATGGTTTATTGGAAATAAGTCTCAAAGACTTTCTTGCTTGGGCTGGCTTCAAACCTTGATCCTCATATCTCCACATCCTGATTAGCTAGGGTTACAGGTGTGAGTCCCCAGCACTCTGCTGTATATGTAATTTTAAAAATAACAGAACTGTTTTTCTTTCAGTTTGTATTCCTGTTAAATGTCCCAGAGTTTAGGATGTTCATTTGTTTCTGAAGTGATTCTTGGGGAAAAGGAAAGGAACAAAGAAAATTAGTAACATGTCTTTATTGCCTCTTTTGCTGGCTTTAAACCATGATGCTCAGATCTCAGCCTCCTGAGTAGTTAGGATTACAGGTGTGAGCCACCAGTGCCCAATTTTATTACAGCATTTTTTTTATTAATAAGGTTTTTTTTAATTGTGAAAATACCATACAGAGGGGTTACAATTACATGAGCAAGGTATTGAGTGCATTTCTTATCAAGCATTGTCGCCTCCTCCTTTGTTTCCTCTTATCGCCTCTGCCCTCCCATCTCCCCCCGCCCCACGCCTCCCCCGCCCCGCGCCTCCCCGCCCCCTTATTACAGCTTTTGGACTCATTTCTGCATTTCCTCTCACATAGACACTCTGCCTCACACATACAGAGGCAGGACACGTGTGTGATACACGATTTTGACTTTTCTAGAAAGAGACTTTCCTCTTTTTTAGGAGCAGTTTTAGGTTTAGGGCAAATTTAAATGAGAATTACTGAGAATACTGTGTCCTCTGTCTTCTACCCTTCTCCCCCTGTTAGTGCCTGCCACAGAGTTGTGCACCTGTTCCAGTCCACAGACCTACCCTGACACGTCACCCTCCCACAGTTCACAGTACTTGAGGGTTTTTCTAGATGCTCTAAGTTATGGGCTTAGACAAACATAGAGCGACATGTGCCCACCTTAGAGTGGGTCCGGTCGTGGGCCTGAACTCTGGGCCTGGGCGCTGTCCCTCAGCTCTTCAGCTCAAGGCTAGCGCTCTACCACTTGAGCCACAGCGTCACTTCCAGCTTTTTTTCTTTTTGCTTATGTGGTGCTGGGGAATCAAACTCAGGGCCTCGTGCATGCAAGGCAAGCACTCTACCACTGAGCCACCTTCCCAGCCCCTAGTTATACAATGCTTGACTTTCTGACCACTCACTCTTTTCTCTTAACACTAACCCATGTAAGGTGTGAAGATTTCACTCAGAGAGAGAATGCCAGCCATAACATTTTGCTCTAGCACTGCCAGTGGAATGTGCTGGTTACTTCTGTCATCCAGGATAGGTCCCAAAACAGCTTGGGGTGAACTGCACTGTTGCATTTCCACAGCCTGTTGTCCTGTCAGGTTGCAAGTGCTCCCCTGGCCGTGATGCCCTGCTGTCAGTACTTCACAGCACATGGTGCCCAGAATCAGGCTCAGGCCTGAGACCTGGCTTGCAAATTAGCAGGCTAGCTTCTGATTTCAAACTCCACCAGCTGAGCTACAATCCCAGCCCTGATTCCTAAGCCTTCTTCCAAAAGGTTTATGCTTGTTTCCTGGGAAGGGAGCACAGAAGGTATTCTAGAGCTAGCCGAGGAAGCTCGACTCTTCTGATACTTCTCATGTTAAAATGGTTCATGACTTGTCCATGTCTCATATTAGTATCTTCAGAAAAGCAAAATATGAACCATTTCTTTCTAGAATTATAGTAATGAACTTCTGACAGGAATCTTAGCCATCAGTTCTCTTTTTCCTTGTATAGATTAGGAAGCTGAAGATTAGAAACCAGATAAAGTGTTTGGGTTATGCATTCTGGTTATTGTTTAGATGGTAGGAGGCATTGGTTTAAAAATTAGTGCAAAGGCTCGCTTGTGGGCTTTTCCTGCACTGACTGGCTTCAAACTTCAACCTGCAGTCCTCAAATCTCAGCATCCTGAGTAGCTAGGATTACATATGTGAGCCACTGGCATCCAGATTTATAAGTGCAATTTTAACTAAATGAAGTCTTGCCTTTATTTTCTCAAGCACATTAATTTATTGTTTGTTTTCTGCTGGTAGGATTTTATTTGCTTGCCTTTAATTAACTTCCCAAATGGCTAACAGGAAATGCCCTTATATTTACAGAATAGCCACAAGGTGGCACTGTGGCGGTTCTCTTGAGTTACAGAGTTTAATTTCAAGCAATCCCTGCTTTGGAGAAGAGGCACAACAGAGGCACATGTGTTATGTATATAAATACAGCTAGTGTAATTGCGTAAAATTCCATTTTCATTACAGCGAGTTTTAAGGTATTGTCCATATCTCTATTACTGGGGAATTTTGTGGTATTGAATGTTACGTGAAATGAATGGACTGTTGGCTGGGACATGGAAATATTTTTGTTAAAATGCTATTTGTTTAACAGGATTTGATCTGAACATACATACATATGTCAGAATATTTCATACTCATGAATCTAATAGCTGGAGACAAGCTGGCCAAGTTGATTGTGTTAGTGTCTAGTAGACTTGGCTTAAACCTGGCTGTAGTTCTTTAATACCAACCCTGCCTTACGAGCATTGTGGGAAAAACAGGCTCATGTGTATGTATGTACACTCTTGGATTTAGTAACATATGAGCAACTTTCTGGTGATTATACTATCTTAATGTTGTGTAGGAGGTCTTGAGTTTGACTTTGCTTTGTTTTTGGTGATTAATTGGGGATAAGAATCTCACAGGTTTTCCTGCCCTGGGCTGGTTTTGAACCCCTATCCTCAGATCTCAGCCTCCTGAGCAGCTAGGATTACATGATGTGTCGACTGGCATCCAGCAAGTTTGACTTGTTACTTTGTTAACATCGACAATCACTTTAAACACTTGATTGTGAAGACATTAGTTCTATAAAAATCATCTATACTTTTGGCATTTTTACTGTTTAGTATGACTATTGTACCTGTCAGTATAGGAGAAATGGAAAATGTTTGTGGTTTCTGGCTCCTTTTGGTTCAGTGGAAAAAGTGATAATTATGAATAGGCTTTTCTAAAAATCATGGTAAATGTTTAGTCTGCAGTGTCAATTTCTGTTGGCTAGGTTGTAAGAACTGTTGTTAAAGAGCAATTTTATTCCATTTGAAATATAGAGATAGGCTGCACTTCAAAAACTATGATGAGCATTGATGATCAGTTTGGTGAGAGAATTTTGAAACTCTTAGCTCCCTGGCCATGGTTTATTATTTATCTTACCCTCAAGTAAGGCTGGAAAATCACTATGGACTATGGGGAACTAGATCAAAGGTCTTGAGAGGTGGGGGAAAGACAGAGCATAGCTCAGGCTTTAGGCTGGGTTCAGAGATCCCAGTAGGACAGAGAGAAAGAACACATCCTCAAGATCAGACAGTTACGTAACCTACCTGTCATCCAGTGGTACTCTGAGGATATCCGTTTAAAAACAGAACAAAACAAACTAAACCCCAGAGATGCTTCTCCAGAGGTAATTGTTAGATGTTTTAATTTCGGAGCTGATACTGTAGAGCTGTTTGGTTTCCTGGATACTTAGTAGGAAAAGACATGGGACTTTTCACTTCATTTCCGTCTGAATGCTTGTTGGCTAATTCCAAGTGACAGGCGCCCGTGGACAAACTTGCTTTCTATAGTTGCATTGTTTTGTTAAAAGGTTTCTAACTTCTGATTTTATTAGATCTGGGACCTGCCGAGTGGGAAAGGAAGTTTCTTTGTAGCTAGCTGCTCTTTGAAATGCTTTTCTAAAAGAATGGAAGTTTCTGTAATTGCATGATCCTAAGCAGTTGTGTCCTCCGCCTGGCTCTAGTCAAGGCCATTGAAATGACATCACACATTTGAGCTTGATTTTGTTAGTTTATGTACGTATTTAGCTTTGAAATTTGTGCCTTTTAATTTTGTTTGTGATTTGGAATTTCCAGACTTTGACGTGGTGCCTGTAATTAGCACAGGGCAGTGTCTGCAGCACTGTGGCCTCCTTTTCCTGAGGCTGGAGCGTGTCCTCAGGAGAGGTGGTAGGAGACGTGGGGGCCGGGGCGGGGGTGAGGGGTGCAACCTGATAGGGTAATGAGAGCCAGACATAGAGCTCTAACACCGCAGAGTGCTTTTTTAGCTCAGGCAAATGGACTGCTTCATTTAGCAACTTCTATGTTCTGAGTGGTCTCGGAAACCAGAAAGTTCCAGAATCTGCATGGCCCAAGAGTGACTAGCCTGAGGTCCCCAAATACAGAGCGTGTGATTCCTACTCTTCTCCAAGCGTTTTGGAGGCTATGGGTGTTATACCAAGGCTAGGACTTCGGTTTTTGCTAGAAGAGATGTAAGATGTGCATTTTTCTATTACATGTTCCACGTAGGTGAAGATTGCTACTTAGACCCCTTGACCACTGGTATCAGCTAAGCAGATTTGGGGGAAAGGAAGCAGAGAAGGAAGGCTGACAGTTATGACTACCTGCTACGTACCAGGCTCTTTTTGTCTAAGAACATTGAGAGTTTCTGTCTTAGAGAATTATTTTTGTAGATGATACAGAATAGTCCATTTGAAGCATTTAATATCATTTTTATGTTATGAAAGTCAGATCTAGAAAGAAAAATGAATTTGCTTAAGGTCATGTAGGTCATGACAAGACCAGCCTTGAGTCAGGTTATCTTACTTGATATCTAATACAACTGAAAAACACTGCCTCCTCTAAGGATGAAGTGAATTTACAGTCAGAACAGAAGGAGATCAGTCTAGCCTCTGTGGATGTCACTGAGGTGGTGTTTACTTGTTCAGAAACTTGCTGATAGTTGTGAGCATTCTGTAAGGGGAGGTCAGAGAGGACTAAAGGGGATGTCTTCACTGGGTCTCATTAACCAGAGGTTTGTTCAGGAGGGCAAGAGATCTGGGGAATCTGTTTTTGTTGCTGTCTTTCTGAACACCAGTCATCCCAGACGACTCAGATACAGCCACACATGCTTTACCTTAGCTAGTGGTCTCACACTAACTTCTTTTGTCCTGTGGAAGGTTTGGATGCTGGCTTCCCAGTTCACATACAAGCCATGGGCCTTGCAGCCAGCCACTGAGACCAGAAAGAGCAACTCCCTTTGTATTCTTGTCTTGTTATTTTATCTCAGAGAGCAGAGGATTCAAGAAGGGAATTGATTAGCAGAGATATATAACTAGGAAGATTGAGTAATGTGGACATAATAAATGGTGGCAAGTGATTGTATTCTAATATGTATAGAAACAATCACAGAGGAAATTCAAACATGAGCTGAATTTGTTATCCTGTGGCTAGACTCTTGAACAATTATAGTCAGGATAAATGCAGCGTCAGCTTACAATAGCTGCGGTGCTGTGAACTTGGTGCTGTGCTGAATGTGCTGGCCACAGTGATTGAGGCACATGTGGTTATCCCTGGCTTTGCTTGATGATGGACAATGAGAGAAAGGGGCACAGGGCCATGGAGAGTCGCAAAAGGATGGCCGAGTCTTTGAGAATACCATCCAGAAGACTAATGGCCAGTGTCTAGTGCCCCACACGTTTAGAATGATCCAAGAGAGTCGAGAGCAAAGCACTCGGGGGTATTGCTTGGAGAGAGGCTCACTATACACATTGAAGTGCTGGTGTGCTTAGATTAGATAGCATAGTGGCAATAGAAGGAAACCTCGTGCCAGGTCTTCTTTTCCTTTCTAAGACTAATGGCCTCAAATAAGGAGTGAAAGAAACATTGTAATCAAGATTTGAACATGTTTAGGAATACTGTGAACAAGCAGGCCTAAAAACATTGTTTACCAAGATAGTGACCGCAGAACACTGAGAAGACATAGAAACCAGTGCTGTGCTCGGGCACCCGCTGAAGACGGCGGGCTTATGGGAGATGAACTGTTACTTCCATACTGATCCAAGACCAGGACTTTACTTGGTATATAATGCTTGTGCTCCTTGGCTGGCACTCTTCCGAGTCACACCTCCAGCCCCTCTAGCACTGTTCTTAATTTCAGCAGTTAATTAGCACCTGAAAAGATTTTTGTGGGACCCATGAACCTAGACATATGTATATAGAATGTTAAAAGCTGTTACCTCTTAGAAATGAGATTTAAAGACTTAACCTTTTTTTTTCTTGGATAGTTTATCATGTTTCTGTAGTGAACATAGATTATAGAAGCTGGAGCCAGCATATAAATAACAGATTGCACGTGTAGTCATTCCTCCAAGGGCCACAGGACAACCATGCGGAGGTCACTTGTGTGTGTTTGTCGAGTGACCCTGAGGACTGACTAGAACGCTGAGGCTGGGCCAGTAGCCCGTGTAGGGGACGATTGAGACGGGAGATCAGAGCCCCTGAGTAAGAATGGTGAGGGCCTGGAGACTAGCCTGGTGGGAACTAGAGAACTTCACAGGTGCTGTCCCTGGTTCTGGCCCATTTAATGTGGTTCCACAGTTGGGGGAAAGACTTGCTGACCTTTGCCCATTACGTAGATCTGACCTCGAAAGTCCACTCTTCAAAATTTCTAGATGGGTAGGTCAGGTATTGCTTTGAAGGTACCTTCTAGTAAGGAGATAATGCTACATGTATCAGCTCCTAACCGGCGATAGAATTAGGGGAAATGGTTTTTTTGGTGGTTTTTGTTTGTCTGTTTGTTTTACCGGTCCTGGGGCTTGAACTTGGCCTGGGCGCTGCCCCTGAGCCTCTTGGTGCTCAAAGCTAGCGCTCTACCACTTGAGCTGCAGTGCCGCTTCCAGGAATAGTTTTAACAGATGCTGATGGGCTTTTTGCCACTTGGGAAGTCTGCTAGGAGATGACGGAAAGGGTTGCTGGAAGGAGACCGATACACAAGTTAGGAGAAAAGAGATTACTGGGAGAGCCGGCCGGCGGGGCTGCACCAGCAAACCGGTGCAGCAGCCTGACGAATGGTGGAGTGAGGTTTTTAGGGAAGGGGAGGAAGTGACCTCAGAGCCGGGGAGGGGGCTCCACGCTGACCCGCAGGCGCACGGTGACCACTTACCTGGTGGTCTCCCGGATGAGGGCCACGTGCAGTTTTGCAAGGGGAAGAGAACAAAGGGAAGGGGGAGTCGACAGTGGTTTCTCCCACAAAGAGAAAAGGGGAAGGGAGCGTTTTCCTGGGCCTCACTTTCACAACACTGGCCATTAGGTAAAGGCGTTCTGTCTTTGACTGTGTGTCCGGAAGATAGCAGGTTCAAGAAAGAATGTCCTGAAGTCTGCTCTTCAAAGCTGGAGTATTTGCTCTAGTCCAGGCTAAGAGGGTTAGTATATGATAATCAACAGAGTAACAATGTCATAGTTTGTAAAGCCTCTTTTTTATTGCTTTGCTTTATTTGCTGGCCTCAAAGTGGAGGTCCTCTTGCCTTCTGAGTGTTTGTATTACAGGTGGGCATCACCATGCCTGGTTTTACTCATTGTTTCATGCTGTATTTTTCAAATAAGGCCTAGGCTGTACCCCTAAAGAAATGGGCTACAAATTTAATAATTCACTGGTCTTTACCACTAAGCTTGTTAAAGAGAACAGACATTAACTTTGTAGACTTCTCTATTGTCTTCAAAATCTTTTCACAAGTTTGTTACCATTTTGTAGAAAATCAAGGCTACGGGATGTCACATGTCATAAAACTAGTAAGAACTAGTCTGTGAGTTTGGGACAGGAAGTTGGGATTTTCTATGTGTTCCTTAGGCTTATTTAACACTATATAGAAATAGGCCTGGGGAAGAGCTTGCTTTCTTTACCCGGGGACCCAGGAAGGAGCAGTGACCCCTGTAGTCTGCTCCTCTCCACTGTAAATGACAGGCTCTCAAGTAATTTGCAGACATGTTGCTATTGCTTTTAAGGCTTTTTACCATATGTTTGGGAACAAAAAGTGTTAACCACAACAGGGAGATACAATGATTGACAAAAGCACATTGAAGTACAATTGACTTCAGCTCTTGGTTTGTCATAGCACTTTCCAAACTAAATCTGGGTTGTTTCTCCTTCTTACCTGGGAGAAGGGACTCAAGGATTGTGATTTGTTGTGAGAGACAGTGAGTGACGGCAATAAACACGAGTTTTGTAAGAAATCCTGAGTTCCAGTCCTGCTTCACCCCTTAGCAGAGCTTTGAGTACTCTGCCTCTCTGCACTCATCTGTACAGTTTGGGGAGCCATTGCCCCTTACGGGTTTTGTAAAAAAAATGTTTTTTTAATCCTAATATCTGATTAATAAGTAACTGTCCAGGCTCAGCTTTTACACCAGGAAACAGTTGTCCTAACAAAAAACAACCAGAGTGATGCGGATATGTTTGTGAACTTGAACATCTCATATACTTACGGATCTTTTCATATGAAGTATTTCATCTGGGTCAGGATTTCTTCCTTTCTGTTACCTTAAAGGAAACGAAGGCTGGTATATTTCCATCTCCCTGCCCATTCCTTTTTCTCTTTTATAGAGCAAGGCTTAGATCATATAGCAGAAAACATTCTTTCCTACCTGGATGCCCGGTCCCTGTGTGCAGCTGAGCTGGTGTGCAAGGAGTGGCAGCGTGTGATCTCAGAAGGAATGCTGTGGAAGAAGCTGATCGAGAGGATGGTACGCACCGATCCTCTGTGGAAAGGGCTGTCCGAAAGAAGAGGGTGGTGAGTATCTGCTTAGTCCTTTCCAAAAAGTTTCTTTGTTGTATAGCCAGCTTGATGCAAATTTGATAGCTTGGGAGGATGAATTGCCAGGAACTAGGGGAACAGTTTAAAGCTGCTAGAATTTCCATTTCTGACATGTGCTAAATGGCTCAGTTAGCACAGAGAAAGAGAGCTACAGGCCAGGACACAGGGTAGTTGGGAAGAGCAAGGTTGAGGTCTTGGCCTAAGTTATATTTTTCACAAAGCTATATTAACACTTACTAAGCTCTCCAAAATGAAAGGCTAGATCATTGTGTGTCCTGGTTCTCAGAAAACAAAAGGCAAGCAAAATGACAGAGTTATGAATTGAATTAAACTTTCTCTTAAGATGGAAATTTAATTTTCAGAAGCCCTGCTTTTGACTGAGGTACATGGCCCAGTGGTACAGCACTGACCTGGCATGAACAAGGAGATCCACCCATAGCACTGCAGGAAAAACAAAAGAATAACAAATCCTGGTTTTGAACTGTTAAAGCTCAATCTAAGCCTACAGACATGAAAGATAGAAGAAATCTTTGTTAGTACCATGCTTAAGTAACATTCTCTGTTTTGTGTCTAAAATACAACATTTGTTTTTCTTTGCCAGGGATCAGTATCTGTTTAAAAACAGACCCACAGATGGCCCTCCTAATTCATTTTATAGATCTTTATACCCAAAGATTATCCAGGATATAGAGGTAACTTTATGATTTATCTGTTTTATGGGCTCTTTGGCTCTTCTTGTCACCTTTTTATATTGCCTTTTAGTGTTCTGTTGTTCTAAACTCATGAAAGTAGTCATATGTGTGGTTGTTTACCTTCTAGAATAATGTCTTAATGTGTAACCTGCATCTGTTCTTCAGGTTTTTTTAAAAGCAAAAGCTGCTCAGGTACCTGTGGCTTATACTAGCTCTTTAGGAGTCCAAGATCTGAGGATTGCGGTTCGAAGCCAGACCAAGCAGGATGAAGGTCCCTGAGACTCCCAACCTCAACTTAATCAGCAGAAAGCCAGATATGGAGCTCTGGCTCCAATAGTAGAATGCCAGCCTTGAGCAGAAAAGCTAAGGGACAGCACCCAGATTCGGAGTTCAAGCTCTGCCCCTCCTGTCCCAGGCAAAACCATCTGAAATGCTTCTGCAAAGTTACCAAAACAGCTCAGAAGTTATTTTAAGCAGAGTAAATTATGACTGTAGACCGTTTTGGATTTCTGTGTAACTTCTCCAGACTAGAAAAACTCGATAAACTTGAGATGCACTAGAGATGTTTGATGGTGTTCATGTGTTCTATTATTTAACTCCTCCTTTCCTTGACCCAGGAGAGACATGCACAGGCATTTCTTGTGAACTTTTTCACCTGTGTTCCTGGCTGCTCTGACTTCTTCAGTCTTTCCTCCTTGGAGGAAAAGTTTAGCCTCCATGAGGGCAGTGCTGTATCTCCCATAAAGTTACATTGAGCTTCCCAAACGCGATAAGATTTACCATGCCAGAAATCATTAGTGGGAAAACATCCATTTTTTGGAATACTGTCCCTCTGCTCCCTTTTCAGGCAGATGTGAACTAATGGGTCCACCCCATTAATGGTAAATCTAAATGTTGCTGGAATATTACTATTTTAAGAGACAGTCTCTTGCATATTGTGCTCTCTAAAATGACCTTAACATAACCTTTTAGATAGAATTAAATAATATGCCAGACAAATCATAACCTTTAGGAATTAATTGACCCACTGTTAGTTTAGAACTTAGAATTGGGGCTGGGAAGGTGGCTCAGTGGTAGAGCCCTTGCCTTTCATACGTGAGGCCCTGGGTTCGATTCCTCAGTACCACATAAACAGAAAAAGCCAGAAGTTGGGGCTGGGAAGGTGGCTCCGTGGTAGAGTGCTCGCCCTGCATGCACGAGGCCCCAGGTTCGATTCCTCAGCACCACATAAGCAGAAAAGGCCGGAAGTGGCGCTTTGGCTCAAGTGGTAGAGCACTAGCCTTGAGCTGAATTGCTGAGGGACAGCGCCCAGGCCCAGAGTTCAGGCCCCATGACCGACCAAAAAAAAAAAAGTGAGACATAGTGTTAGCTGTAGTCTGAGTGAATGAGTGAGTGTGTGTGTGTGTGTGTGTGTGTATGTATGTATTTCAGGGAGAAGGGCTGTCTCTAGATACCGCTACTAAGTCATTGCTCAACTCTCAGATAGGACATGCTGGGGTTTGTTTTGTTTTGTTTTTGTTAGTTGTGGGGCTAAACTCTGGGCCTGGGCACTGTCCCTCAGCTCTTCAGCTCAAGGCGAGCACTATACCACTTGCCACAGTGCCACTTCTGGCTTTTTATGTGTATGTGGTGCTGAAGAATCGAACCCAGGTCCTCATGCATGCAAGGCAAGCATTCTACTGCTGAGCCACCTTCCCAGCCCTTCTTGCTGTTCTTTAATGAGCGTGTGAGGGGCAGCTATTATGAAGTACTCAATTTCCTTGAGTGGTTTTATCAAGTCACCCTTTTTGTTTTGAGAAGGGGGCTGTTAATAAACAGAAACGATGGAAGAACTTCATCAAGTTGAAGATTTAACTACACAGAAGGAAGGCTGTTAAATCCTCATGACTACTGTTGCAGTCAGCAGTATGTACTCGGTAGTCTGTGGTGTGACACTGCCTATCATCACCGTTTCATCAGGCTCAAGTCATGTGACAGAGTTAGCAGATGTAGCAGGGCAGAGCCGGGACACAAAACGTTCTGTGTCCTGACGGAGTTCCCAGTGGCTCGCAAAGTGTGGTCTGGGAAAACACACTGGCTGGCCACAGTAGTCTCTTTCAGATTTTTGTGGGCTAAGTCTCTTAGTGCAAGGGGTGGTATTTATACTTCAGTATAGTCACTAATGGTTATATGACAAATCCAATGTTCCACTAATGAAGCATTTTACACAAATACTTATTAGCATTTTGTAAAATGTTTTCTCATTAAACAGATTGGGCAAATCTTGAAAAATTGTTTCAAGTCCTTATGTAAAAATTGAAGAGACATGGGCTCAAAAATGTCTTGCTCTAGGTCACCTAGCCATTGAGTGATGGAGTCTGGAATACACCTTAAACTCTTCTGCCTCAGATATGCCTTGTGTTATGTGGATTGTGGTGTTCCCTCAAGATAAAATTCTCCCCTCTGTTTCGGGAGTGTGGTTTGTTCTGTCCAAGTTAGACATACTTGGAGAAAGTTCTTGCAGTGATCCATGAATCAGACAACTGAGAACTCACCCGTAGGCTCTGCTCCTGTGGCTGGTATTAAACCAGCAAGATGTAGTTATTATAAGTATCTTCCTTTAAGTATGCCACGAACTATATTGCATGACTATCAGATTTAATTTTTATAAGGTACACATTATTGTCCTTGTTGATAATAAAGAAAAATTGAGATTTACTGTCCTCTTTTTCCTTTTTCTATCTCAGCCTTTAGCGTTGTTCTTGCTGGTTTCTAAAATCCTTCTCTGAATTTGCCTGATGAGCACAAGGAAATACTTACCGCTGAACTTTGCCCTTCCACATCGACCCACTAAAAACAGGCTAAATTTTAAGAAAAAAGACAACCTGACTTAGTGGCTAGCTCCCATTATTCATGCAAGGATCTTCTGGGAAGTGAAGAAATGAGAAGTGAAGAGAGTAAACATTCATTCTTAGCTTTCTGCAAAGATGGATCTCTTCTGGATATTCTTATCACGTAGAAAGGGTTTGTAGGGCCTCTGAATGGAGCTGGGATTCCTGGGAAGCCCAAGGCTCCCTCCTAAAAGAGGCAGCCATATTCTTGGTCGCAGTTGGAGTCCCAGTCACCCTTGTACTTATTGCTAATAGTGGCTTTTGCTAAGCACTTTACTAGAGTAATATAATTTGATCCCCAAATTGTTAAAACTAAGATTCTTATTCCAACACACACACACCACTGTAACATAGCTCTGATGTCCTGAACTTAAATATTTCTCTTTTGAAAACATTTCCAGAGTAGTGACAAACCCCTTCATGCAACATACCTAGTTCTCTGTACGCTGGAGTAGAGGCTTTGGCCTCTCCTTGGGATAGACGGTTGGGAAAATGACGGTGTACCGGATCACACTTTTCTATAAACCACATTATATTCAGGGAAAGTGGAGAGCTTTTTTGTGGTTTGCAAAACTTGATATTAACATTGTCTTGACCAGTAAATGTTGAAACTTGCCCACCCACCCAGTTGTGTTTAGGCTTCTAAAAATAATGTTATTCCTCCATACTCAGACATCTGTTTCTACTCTATTGCCAATTTAAATGCTGCTGTATACTCTGTGTCTCATGGCTATTTTCCCAGTATTTTGAAAATTTGCACAGGGTAAGGGGATTTTACAAGTTCTTCACAATCATGAACTATTCCCTCCAGTAGCTGTACCGTGTAATGGCAAGACACAGCGGCAGGTATCCGTATGAGGGGCGCACCTGTGTGGGACATAGATGCCAGCTGGTGGAGTGGTTGAGCTCCATTTGATGGCCAAGCATCTTCCTCAAACGTCAGGAGTGCTCAGGCTAGCAGTGTTAATTTTCAGCCTAGGCCAAGACGTTAGCTCCTCTGATGAGAAGATTTTGGGGGGTTGGGGGAAGGACAGGCACTGTTTTTGGTCAGTGTTTTCCACAGACCCTGTGATGAATGCTTTTCATATCTAATGTTACTTGATCCCTTCTGATAATTTTAAGGGATTGGACATTACTATTCCTGTTTTTACAGGATGCTGCTCAGATGGTCTGAGTGTGCCAAAGCTGCTGCTTGACCTAGGTATTTTCTACTATAGTGGGCAGCCTGCCATTTTTAAAGGTCTAGTTTTCTAATTAGGAGTTGAGGTGAACAGAGTTGGTGGTAGTGTTTCTCAGGCAGACAGTCAGCTGCTTTCGTGTGTGGGTGGCCTTGGGAATTGAGGAGCGTACCTTGGGTGGCGTGCAGCTGTCTAGGACTCTCTGATCTGCTCCTAGAAGTTATGCTTGCCTTGGGATTTTGGAGCCTAGTTGTATTTTTAAATAGCCTTAGCTGAGGACTTCTGAAAACAGCCCACTGGGAATTATTCACAACCTTTTCCTTTTTTAACATTCAGAAATGTCTGTCTTTGTAGAAAGTTGGGCTCTTTATAAGCATCGAGAAGAGAAGCTATTTCCTGACTTCCATTGCACTAAGAAAAGAGGCGTGGTGCCTACCAAAACTTGCTCCTCCCTGTATGTCTTCAGGGTGGTAAGGGTAGTAATGGAGTTGTGACCAAGTCACCCAGTTCAGAGGGCCATCTTAGACCAGTAGAGGGGCATGTAGAAAATTCCCCACCTCCTCTTGAATGGGGAAAAAAAATTCAAGCAGCCCATGTAATCATGAACGTGCCTTTTCTGCTCGTTGAAATACAGAATAAGAAAGCAATTATGTTTTACCCCTAAGCACAGCTCGGTGAATGTAGAAACTTCGAATGTATGGCTAAGCAATGCTGTGTGTGTCTGGTAGCGCTTGGGGTTTGTGTGGAGTCGACTCTGCTGGCTTCCAGTATTCTCACTCAATATGGACAGCCAGTCCCTAGGGTAACAGACCAAGAAATAGACTTCTTACCAGCAAATTTTGCCTCCTCAGCTCATACCTGTCACTATCTTAAAAACACTTCTCTACAAGTACGGCGTTCAGTGTAAGAAGTTCTCTATAGTCTGGAACCCCTAGACAGATTGATGCCTGACTTGGCACAGGTAGCAGAGATAGTTCTGAAAAGTGATGCTAAGACATTTTGCTGACTCGCTAGAAATGGTGACCCAGCTTGGACGTCCTGACTTCAGAGCAAGTACGATGGGCAAGTTCTCCTGGCATCTCCATAGCAACCTCCTTGCCTCCTGGGTGTTGTAAATCCACCACCCTGTTCTTTCAAAGCTCTGTGTGGTCTCTGAAGGTACAGATATCTCTAAGACCTTTGCTGAACACTGGGGCCATGCACAGGTTAAGTGGAAATCTCACACCATTTTGTGTGTGTGTGTAACGTGAACACCTGTAGACTTTGATTTTTGTGCTGAGTTGTGGAGTAGATATGGAGGGGAAACATACACCATATTCCTGGAAAGTGTACTACCAGAAACATAGCATTTGAGAGATTAATGTTTTCAAGAGTACAGAGGGTACTTTTTTCTTGAAAGTAAGAGGAGATATGATGTGTTAGACATTAGCTAGTAATTAGGTGCTTATTGTGATAAAGGATATTTATGGAGATAGACTTAGCTTCTCCCAAAGTAAGTAGGTAGGCTAGTAGCTATTCAGAGATAATAATTGAAACTTAAACCTTAAACTAAGTGTGACCAGGTATCATTGTCATTACTGTTCCCTAATGTCAAGAACCCAAAATTCAGACTTGTTGTTCTTACCATTACCACTTTTGACCCTGGGAAAACTTGTCTCCACTACCAGACGTGAGGTATTCTGGGCCTCACTAAACCGTGGGGGGGGGGGGGGGGGGGTTGTCTTGGGCTGTAGTGCTCTTGATCTCCCTCTATTCTGAAGCATAAAGTTTGATGACACCACTCTGTGGCACTGATGTTTTATTTGAACTGTCCATGGAGAGTTCGCCTCCTCTAGAGCCATACTTCTTCATAGGTGTGAATGTTAGCATCCAAAGCACAGGCTGAACCAGAAGGAACTGGGTATGATTTCCAGATAGTCTAATTAGTAGTTTTGTTGTCTCAGGCAGATTAAACTTTTATTTTCTTGTTTGAAAAAGAGAAACAATGCGAGCTTTCTTGCAAGGTTATTACACTAATCCTTTAGTCAAGTAAACTTATAATACAGATGTTTATGATTGGATTGCATCATGATAAATTCATTTTAAGTTAAGTGTACTCAATCCATCTAACTTTACTGAACACCTGAAACTTGCAGCCCAGTACATTGTTGGGCTTTCTTGTTTCCCTTGTTGCCGCATCTTGGCATTGTACATCTCTAGGAAAAAGGCCAAAATTCAGAGTATAGATTCTACTGTATGGACAGGTATTGCTTTTGCATCATAAAGCCTAGGTGTAACCACTGTAAGCCAAGGACCATCTTTACCTCTGTGTGCCTGGGTACCAAAGGGATGCGTTAGTGTGAGCTGGGGTGGTGATTTGTTTCTGAAACAAGGTCTCACTGCATAGATCAGGCTGCTCTCAAATGTGTCCGCTTTCTGCCACAGCCTTTTAGTACTGAGATTACAGGTGTGTTCTACCATGCCTGGTCTGTGCCTCATTTGAATGCATCTTGGATGTGTCCTGATCTTTTTATCCTAAGTGGTCTAGAATACCCTAAAATCCCAGTGAGCGTTGGAAGGGTGATGCGACTAAAATGTGCCATTCTTACTGTGATGTGATTTTAGTTTGGTGGGATAGTAAAAGCTGATGACAGAATTTTTTCTTTGTAGTTGACATGTGCTAGTTATACACGATCTTTTCTCAATGGTCAAGACATTGCTTTGATTGGATCCATAGATTTCTGTGTATGCTTCATATGCAGCAGTCTTTTGCCAAATACTGTTACTGACATTAGGGAGTGACTCTGAGGTTTCATTTATTTGTATGTTTTAGGCACAAATGGCATTTTCTAAACACTGAATTCTGTCTAGGCCATTTCAGACCTAACCCAAAACTCACTGGAAGTCCTGTGCTAGTTTGCCAGACAGACAGGGAAAGTTTTTGGGAACAAAACATTTATTATTGGAAAACAGCGTGATTCCTGTCAACACACAGTCATGCAAAACAAGATTGGAGTAGCAGTGGTGTGCTCTTTTGGAAAAAAATGTCACATTCTGAAACCCAAAAGAATAGTTACTTGGCACAACCTCATCTTTGGCCCGTTTCTTGCCAGACTATAGAATCCAACTGGCGGTGTGGGCGTCATAACTTGCAGAGAATTCAGTGCCGCTCCGAAAACAGTAAAGGAGTCTACTGTCTACAATATGATGACGAAAAAATTATCAGTGGCCTGCGGGATAATTCTATTAAGGTAAATGGCTGCGTTTGTATGCATTATTTTTAAAATAGTGGTGGGAATGTAGCAGTCTTTCTGTTAACTGCAGATTGCCTTGTATCTGTCCTGCTCTACCTTAGCAGCTCCCAGACTGGTTTGGGAGAAACAGAGCTGGAGAATAAAGACCTAGATCACCTCATTTCTCACCCTCCTCTAAGCAAGCCCACAGTGTTCTCTGTTTAAGTGTAAATAGGAATTGCTCCAGTTTCACTAGGTGCTTGAATACTTTGCTAGCTGGTAAAAATACTCTTGGTTTGACTGGAAATCAAAGTCACTGGCTTTTATATTTTCTGACAAGGGCTCTAATGATAAAATAAAAACAAAAAAAAACAGTGACAAGTTGTTTCCATTCACTTTTCAATAATAAACTGTACTCCTTCTCTGTTTAGTTGGTTTGACCAGAGTCTGTGTCTGTTTTACATTGTTTGTAGCTAATAAACTCTTCATATGTAATAAAACAGTGAGGATTTTAACACACATACACCAGAAAGATCAGTCTTTCTGATGAAGTACTTTGATAGCCAGAATAATAATCAAGGTAAAGAATAGTTTCAGGTGCCTTCATTCCCCATCCTGCCCCTTTGAGAGATCTCATCTTTACCACTCAATCTCCTGTGCACAAGAAACCAGTGATCTTTTTTCCTGATCCTATCACTTATTTTCCTTTTCTAGAACATCCTATCAAAGGATTTATGCTGTCAATAGATTTTTAATTTTTTTATTACTATAAAGGTGATGTACAGAGGGTTACAGTTAACCTAAGTCAGGTAATGAGCACAACATCACTCCCCTCTCACTCCCAGTTTTCCCTCCTGTCCCCACTTACAAGTTACATAGTTTACTTTCAACACACTTTATGCTGCGTTTTCACCCTGTCCCCCCATTTCTGTTCAATGGATTTTTATAGTGTAGTCTTTGAGTCTGATTTCTTATAGTTAGCACAAAACATTTGAGATCATCTATGTTGTATTTAATAATAGTTACTTCCCTTTCATTGCTGAAGAGTGTTACATTTTCTTAAGGGCACCATAATTACTCAGTTGGTTCTTAAAGAGTGTTTTACTGTTTGCAGTTTCTCATAATTGTGAATAAAGCCATTATAAGCACATGCATATTAGGTCTTTGTGAGAATGTAGGTTTTAATTTACTCAAGTAAAAACTGGGAATAGGGTTACCTGCTCCTCAAGTGAGATTTTGGGCTAGCTGATGACATTTTAGATACAACACCAAAAGCATAATCTAGGAAAGAAGGGATTGATGAGGTAGCCTTCATTCAAATTTTTTAAAAAGTCCTCTGTGAGATATGCTGTTAAGAGCATGAGGACTTAAATTTCTGGTATGTAAAAGACACACCTGATGAAAGACTGTCATTCAAAATGTGCAAAAACTTTAAAATTCAACAATAAGAAAATAACCACATTTAAAAAATAGGAAAATACCTTAATAGACATCTTACCAGGAAAGATATGCCAATAGCAAAGAGATTTCAAAAATGTCCTGGATCATATATCTTCAGGAAAATGCAAATTAAAGTAACAGTAAGATATATGTATCTATCAGTGTTAACAGCTAGAACAAATGGTGGTCAAGAGGTAGAGCAACTTGAACTCTCATTCATTGCGGGTAAGAATGCAAAATAATGCAGCCACATTGGAAGGCAGTGTGGCAGTTCTAAAACTGTTGCTGTGTGACCTGTCTGTCAGTTGGCACTACTTGGTATTTACTTAAAGGAGTTGAGGTCTTATGTCTACTCCAAACCTGTGCATATGTTTATAGCAGCCTTATTCACAATTACTAAAACTTGGAAATAAGCAAAATGGCTTTCAGTAGGTGAATGGATAAATAAACAGATATGTCCATATAATGAAATAATTTTCAGCACTAAAAAGAAATTAACTTCTCAAGATGTGAAAGACATGGAAAAACCTCAGATGCATATGACTAAGTTAAAGAAGCCAATCTGAGAAGACCTACTCAGGATGCATCCAAATGCCTGACATTTTAGAAAAGAAAAGCCACAAAGACAGTGACCAACAGGAAGAAAGAGCACTCCACCCAAACAAGTAGTGCTTAGGTTTAATTCCTTTATCTTAGGAAATATAGGACACACACACATACACATATATATATACCCACAAATACGTATACACACAAACATATACACACAGTCATAGTGTAGACACTTTTTATCTTGATTTTTTAGTGTGTAACTATAATAAAGCTTTGTATTTTCTCAGTAAAAACTCTTCATGGGCTGGGAAGGTGGCTCAGTGGTAGAGTGCTTGCCTCGCATGCATGAGGCCATGGGTTCAATTCCTCAGCACCACTTAAGCAGAAATAAAACAGAAGTGGCGCTGTGGCCTAAGTGGTAGAGTGCTAGCCTTGAGCTGAAGAGCTGAGGGACAGCACCCAGGCCCAGAGTACAGGCCCCATGACCTGCGAAAAAAAGAAATCACTAATTCAAAAAAAAAAAAAAAAAAACAGTTCTTCATAGCTGAAGCTCTGGTGGCTCATTCCTGTAAATCCTACCTACTCAGAAACTAAGATCTGAAGATTATGGTTCAAAGCCAGCCCAAGCAGGAAAGTTGATGAGACTCTTATCTCGAATTAACCACAAAAAAAAGCCAGAGGTGGAACCGGTGGCTCAAGTGGCAGAGCACCAGCCCTGAGCAAAAAAAAAAACTAAAGGGCAGCATTACTGGCATGTGCACAGTGGGGATGGGAGAAGAACTCTTGGTAGTTTGTTCTGAGATTTTCCCAAAGTGTTGGACGTTTCATTTCTCATTTTTTGTTTTTGTAAATATAAGGTGTGTGCATTTTAACAGATGTTGCCACAAAGGATGCACTAACTCCACACTTTTATATTAAAAGTCCCTTTATAAGCCTGTTGGTAAGTGTACTTAGTACAATAGGTAAGGGTTCAAATTAGACAAAGCTCTGCATCTCTTCCAGAAATTCATTAGTATTTCCTTTATTCCATCTCATCATTTCTCACCTATTTGATATTTATCTCTTATGGTGGCACAGAACCTTTTATTTTATGATCTAGAACACACGGCGTGACAGTAACATAGACGAAATGTTCTGCACTAAATCACTGTTTGTGGTTGGTCTTCTTTCTCTCAATAGATTTGGGATAAAACCAGTCTGGAATGTTTGAAAGTGTTAACAGGACACACAGGCTCTGTCCTCTGTCTCCAGTATGATGAGCGTGTCATTGTGACTGGCTCTTCAGATTCTACGGTGAGGTGAGTGTTTTAACTTGATTGCTCCTACTAGGTCATTCTTCATGAGGCGACCGAGTTGCACACCTGCTTATAAGGTTGACACACTTCGTGTGCATGTTTATCTGCTGTTTTTGATGTAGATATATTAAGTTAGTCAGATGAAGAATACATTTCTTTTTGGACAATGTCATCCCTTCCTTGCTTTCTCCCAGTCCCCCCCCCCCAAGCCCACCCACAAGTTGTACAGTTCATTTTCAACAGTGTCCAGTGGGTACCACTGCTGCATTTGTTCATCCTTTCCCTCTATTTCTGTGCCTCCCCTTACCCTCCCGAAGACAGATAAATGATCAGATAGAACAAAAAGGAAAGAAAACAAGAACAGCAAAAAATTTAAAAACTCTTGTTTTTATTTCCTGGAGTTCATTTCAAGATATACATCTATATATCTTCTGTTTTTCCCCTCCTCTGGTAGCCTCCTTTGGTTTCACTGTAGGTAAATGCCTACAGACTTGTTTAATTTATTATGTTCCAGTGTTTTAGATCTGGCTTCCGCATATGCGAAAACACACGCCCTTTGTCTTTGAGCTTGGAACGCCAATTTTTAAATGATTTAGTCCTCTTGCCCTGCTTTAGAGAGATGATGTCACGCTTTCCTTTAAAGTGCCTAGCATTAGGCTTGCCTTCTCCTCTTGGAATCCGGTGGTCTAGAGGAGGACGTACAGTAAGTGCCACCTTCAGGTACAGAGAGAATCAGGCCGTTTGCAGAGCCTTTTGAGGGGGATAGAGCAGGTGAATGCTGCAAGCTAGATAATAATGTTTAGACGTTTTGTATATTCTCTTAGTTTTCACATCAGCCTTTGCAAGTAGGAAGATACTGTCTTCTATTGGGAAACCAAGATCAGAGAAATTAAATAATAATTAAATAATTTTTTCAGAGTTAAAGGACATTTGGAGCCTGAAATGTGATAGCCTTTCCAGTAGTGAAGGCCTTAGTTTCTAGTTGCTGTTCAAAGGGCAAAGGAAGATGAAAGTAGTGGTGTTTCATTGCAGATGAGCAGCGGGGCCACGCTTACACCCTGGGTTGACATGAGGTATCACAATTCTTTTCTCCTGCTCCGTTGGTTTTTGTCACTAGGCTTTGGCATTGCTCCTGGTCCTCTTGGACCTACGCAGCTGCTCTTAGCACAGATCATGGCTCAGTCTTGGAATTCAGTCCGTCCCCCCCCCCCCCCCCCCCCCCCCCCCCCCCCGATATGTATGAACTTGGCCTCTTAGGAGATTAGGACTGCAGAAAAGTTTTGATGTTTCTGGAAGGTTGCACCTAACACCCCCATACCTTTGGTTTGAAGCCATCAGGACACTCTGACTTTGTCCATACACAGTTAGTTGGGGTGAGGAATGGCTTTGGGAATTGAGAGATTCCATGATTTATAGTTTGAAATGACAAATTCGCCTGCATCTAAAATCAGCAACAACTTGGTACTTGTGCTTGTCTGCCACTGCCAAGCATTTCTTTTGTTATCACCTACCTGCTAGAAACCCACTGTCTCCAGAGGGCATCTTCCCCATCACCACAAGCCTTCGGACACCAGGCTTGCATGCCTATCGAGTCTCACGCAAGCTGGAGCAGAGCCACAATTACCTGCCTTTCCTAAAACCATCTCAGCACTTACAGCAAGCAAGGAAGCTGCTGCAGCTCACCACCCCACCTTGAATTGATTGTACTTCCACGTGTTCATTAAGACTCTTTCCCTGGCTGCACAGTAATTAAGCGTCATGTGTGTCTCTTCCCTTCTAGAGTGTGGGATGTGAACACAGGTGAAGTTCTGAACACACTGATCCATCACAATGAAGCTGTACTGCACTTACGCTTCAGCAATGGACTGATGGTGACGTGCTCCAAGGATCGCTCCATTGCTGTGTGGGACATGGCCTCTGCCACTGATATCACTTTACGCCGTGTCCTGGTTGGACACCGCGCTGCTGTCAATGTAGTAGACTTTGATGACAAGTACATTGTGTCTGCTTCTGGAGACAGGACCATCAAAGTAAGTGTCTGCAGTTAGGACCTGCCTGCTCCTGTCCCTTGGACAGCAAAGAGAAAGCAGAGGGGGCTCCTGGCACCTTGAGAGGACCATGAGGCAGGAGATCCTCCCACCCTGTATGCCTCCAGAACCACCGGCCAGAGAGGAGAAAAAGCCGTCCAGTAGAAGGCAGAGAATCCATCTGCGTGCTAAGAGTGTCACGTACACACTCCACCCTCCCAGCCCTCTCAGATCTGCTCCACCAATGTGGTTCCCACACTTAAGCATTCTGTTGGAGATCACAGGGCTAGCTAGTGGCAGGACATAATCCCTTGCATCCCCTTCATTTTGAGAGCTTGTGGTGGCCTAGACCTGGGCTGACTGTAGAGAAATGAGACAAACAAGGCCTGGCCCTGCCTGTGAAGGGCTCGTGTCCATGTAAGGATGTAGGCACATGGCCTATGATGTCCCACCAGATTGGTAAATGTATTTCTGTTCCAATATCAATGCTAGCTTTTAAAAGTACTAGCTTTTGTCGGGCATCGGTGGCTCATGCCTGTAATCTTAGCTACTCAGGAGGCTGAGATCTGAGGATTGTGGTACAAAGCCAGCCTGGGCAGGAAAGTCCGTGAGACTCTTATCTCCAGAAAACTGGAAGTGGCTAAGGCTCAAGTGGTAGAGAGCTTGCCTTGAGCTGAAGAGCTGAGGGACAGCACCCAGCCCAGAGTTCAAGCCCCATGACCAACCATAAAAAAAAAAAAGTATTAAGAAAGCCTTAGCTTTCTTATTATTTTATAACAGCCTTACCTGAATAGAATTTCCATACTATAAGATTAAGCATTTACATTTCAGTGGCCTTTAGTACAGTTACAGCGCTGATACTATGTGTTTTATGAACTTTTAAAATCAAATTTTATCTAAAACACCTCTTCTAGTAGTAGTCAGTCCCACTACTGACCTGCCCCTTTCCCTACCTTTAGTAGTAACTAGTCTACCTTCCCTTTTGTTTCTAAGATTTGCCTTTCTAGTCATCTCATATAAATGTAAGCAGATAATATGTAACAGTTTGTATCCCGTGTGCTTTTTTTTTTTTTTTTTTTTTTTGTTTTCAAGGCTCATCCACTTTAGAAGCAATAATTTGTTGCTTCTAATGAATGAGTAAAATTCCATTTTGTCTGTGAATGTACCACATCTTGTTTATTTATCATTAGCTGGACTTTCGGTTCTTTGCATTTTCTGGCTATACAATGATAGTAGCTATAGAATAAAGCTACAACATTTATGTACAGGTTTTTGCATGTTTGTTTACTTCTAGTTCTCTTAGGATGGTAGCTGTGTGTTTAATATTTTGAAGAATTACCGAACTATTTTTAAAGTATGCACTATTGTACAATCCTGCCAACAATATATGAGAGTTTAAACGTGCTCAAAGAATCTTCTTTCAGTGACCACCACTAGACAGAATTCTGGTGATTGTGGCCCCACAAATCACAGACTGTATGGCATCACACATTAGATTAGGTAATCTGAAAGATGACAGCCAGGATTTGCATGCTTTAACTTGCCCCACACTGACACCAGTTAGTACAAGACCAGTATCTGGAAGTCAAAAGCATTTGGGCCTTAATACGAAACAGTGCCTTCATACAACCAACCTCTACTCTTGCCAACATTTATTATTATGTGTCTTTTAATCCTGCTATCCAAGTGCATGTGCAGGAGTACTAGTGACTAATAATATTGATTATTAATTAATCATTCCTATGTACTTATTGGCTGTTGGTGCCTTCTTGGAGGAATTCATTTAAATCTTATGACCCTGTAAAAGTTAACAATTTACCTTTTTGTGGCTGAGTTATAAAAATGTTTCTTAAAAACATATTCTGGATACAACTTGTCAGACATGTGATTATCCATTCTTTGGGGTGTCTTTTTACTTAAAGCACAAATGATTTTACTTTAATTTTTTTTTTTTTTTTTTCCTGGTCGTGGGGCCTGAACTCAGGGCCTGGGTGTAGTCCCTGAATTCTTTTGTTCAAAGCCAGAGCTCTACTTCCAGTTTTCTCATGTTGAATTGGAGATGAGAGTCTCATAGACTTTCCTGCCCAGGCTGGCTTTGAACCATAATCCTCAGATCTCAGCCTCCTGAGTAGTTAGGATTACAGGGGTGAGCCTGTAATATCATAGCCAGCACCTGGCTATGATTTTAATTTTAATAACATCCAGGTTATCAGGGGTTTTTTTTGTTTGTTTGTTTGTTATGCTTTTGTTAAAAGTCTAAGCCCAGGCCACAGAGATTTACTTCTGTGTTTTCTTCTAAGAGTTGTATAATTTCAATTCTTCCACTTAGGTCTTTGATTATTAGGTCATTTTGTATTAAACTTGTATATGATATGAGAAGGGTCCAGCCCCCCCCCCCTTTATGTAAATACCCATCTCAACTACAAATGCAGTTGGTATAATAATTAATGGCACTACAGTTACTATGTATCTTTTTTACTTAGCTTATCATATATTAAGTGTGATTATCCAAATCTTGCAGATTGTTTCCCAGCAAAGGGTATTATCTTTTCCATACAGGTAATATTAGGGGTGAGATGGCCAAATAAATGGAGCCATTTATAGCCGTTACATTAGGTTTGACATGTCAGCTGGTGTAAAACACAAAACCTGCCACAAACTCTTTCCTCCAAGCAAATAAATGCCTGGATTATCCAGGAGGTACTCCCTTTGTGAAGATGACAACCCTCTCTGTATTTTATTCCAGTTTTACCACTCAGCAGGTAAGACAGCTTCATTCTGTCCAGTTTCTCCCCCAGCTTTCAACTTTGAGTTAGATGATTCTATGTTGTAATTGTGTGTTTGCATCATTGTTAGACACAGTGTTAGACTTGTTATGTCGTCCAGGCTAGCTTAGAACTTGCTATTCATTCAGCCTAGTCTATCCTGGAACTCTGGATCTTCCTTCTGCAACCTCCAGGGTGCTGGGATCACAATCATGCACCACTATACTTAGCTGTCTCTCTCTCTTTCTTTTTTAAGGGTATATATTATGGAGGGCTTTTCTCTGTTTATTCTTAAAAACATGCTATTTGTCACATAGGTCTGGAGCACTAGCACCTGTGAATTTGTTCGTACTCTTAATGGGCATAAGCGAGGTATTGCCTGCCTCCAGTACCGGGATCGGCTAGTTGTTAGTGGATCATCAGATAACACCATCAGGTGAGTAGAAATACTGACAGCAGGCTTATTTTTGCCGTACTGTTGTGATTTATCTGTTAGTCTCAAGGCTCAAATGAACTCTTACAGTTATTTGTATCTTCAGTTCAAGTGGGAAAACTGTATGCCCTTGGGGGTCTTCCAGGATTCTCCCAGTACACAGTTTTATAACCTCAGCTGCACTTGGAATTGCTTACTACCAGAGTACCTAAGATTTGTGGCCAAGTTCACTCTGCTTTTCCTCATCCAGGAGTCCCATTTCCTTCCCAACAGATGGCAGGGCACTTCATGTCTCTTTCAAGACTGCGTTATAAAATCATCTCCTCCTGGCTGCTTATTCTACCCCCCTTTTCTCTTTCCAACAGTCCTTGCTTTTTATTAAGTATGACTAGAAATAGACATGTTATATCTTAGTAAGACCACCAGTCATTTTCTACTATTTCAAATATGTTAGTATTTTTTGTAAAAGTGACTATATAACTTTTGTGTTTATAACCAACTTGCCTAATGTTTGAGCCAATAAAGACTGAGTTCAAGATTTTTTTAGGAGGTAATGGGGGTGCCAGTCCTGAGGCTTGAACTCAGGGCCTAGGTGCTGTCCCTGATGGTTTTTGCTCAAGGCTAGCACTGTACATACAACTTGAGCTGCAGCTCCATTTCCAACTTCTTGGTGGTTAATCGGCGATAAGAGCCTAGGCTGGCTTTGAATTTGAACCGCGATCCTCAGACCTCAGCCTCCTAAGTAGCTAGTGTTACAGGTGTGAGCCACCAGTGCCCAGCAGTAAAAACTATTAACTGTTCCAAGTTTTCTTTTTAAATCCTCTGTGTAAGTCTTGTTTTGCTTTTGATAGAGTAGTCAAACTCTGGGCTACAGCGTGATGTAAAATCGTAAGTTTTCTTTATTTTCAGGTATTTCTGCTGAGCCACACCTCCAGCCCTTTTTTGCGTTGGTTATTTCTGAGATAGAATCTTACTTCCTGCTTGGGCATGTACCTTGATCTGCTTGTTTATGCTTCCTAGGAAGATAGAATGATAGGCATGTGCCACCTTGTCTAGCTATTGGTTGAGAAGATCTTGTAAACTTTCCTGTCCTGGCTAACATTGAGCTATAGTACTCCTTATTTTAGTCTCCCAAGTTGCTAGTGTTATAGGAGTGAGCTAACAGCACAAGACACGATTTAAGAAATGTGAAAATGTAGAGCTTCTAATGCCTATGGGATTGCCTTGTTTCATAAGTCTTTTAACTTCCTCATTACAGTCTCTGAGGTGAGTATTTGTCTATAGTTTTTACTTTACAAGTAGATCAGAGAAGCCATCATTACTTTTTAGAGCAGAGTTTGCTGAGAGCTTCTGTAGCTAAATGTAATTACTGTCTTCACCTTGTTTATACAAATTACTGTGTCATTTTGTTTTATACATGCTAGTTTACTGTGATTTTTTTTTGCAAGAAATTGATAAAAACCACAATGTTGGAGAGAGGAGGAAAAACATCTCTAATTCCATAAATAGAGCACTTGTGAATTTCCACTATGTAAGTCATATGCAGAGAAAAAGGCTTAAGTAGTCCGTGGGTTTGTATGTCCCAGACACTATGTGTACCTCGTGTCTTCCACTCAGACTGTGTAAGGTTGGCAGCCCTGAGCCCCATCAGTATTAAGATGCCACCGTGCTGGTCTATCATTTCCAGCTGTGGTGGGCCTCATGGTCTCCTGTCTGTAAATGCCTTTTCTTTACTGCTACATTCAAAGCCCTTCTGAGACCAGACTTGAAGATAATGCCTAGGCATTAAGCAAAATCAAAGCTTCTTGCTTATAAAGTTCCAAAGGGTTAGAGGTGTGGCTCAGATGGTGATTGCTAGCCATGTGAAAGCAAGCGTCAGATAGCATGTTTGAGTTTCAGTCTCAGACAGAAATGAAAGTTGTCCTAGTGTACTTTTACACCTTCTAAAATTATCTTTAAGTAGTTGATTATGAAAACAGTGCACTGTGATCAGTGTCCCTCCCAACCCACCTCATCCCCAGTTTTCTCAATCTTGTAGGAAATGTATTGACCTTTGTGACTGTATCCCCCCACCCCCCTTCCTCTCTCCCCTTGATCCCAACCACCTTTCAGGCACTCAATTTCTGGTATTGATTTTGTTGGGCTATAAATTAGCCTTTCTAAGGAATTACACAGTTTGAATTCTCTTCTGTCTATACCTTTATGTATATGGTATGGGACAAGAGAGAAATAGCAATGAAGATCTCAAAGACAGGGAGAAGGCTTATCTGTATGAACATAAAAGAACTTTTCTATGTGTGTAATTTGTTTCACGGATGTCTCTTTTTCATTCAAGGCTATGGGACATCGAATGTGGTGCCTGTTTAAGAGTTCTGGAGGGACATGAAGAGTTGGTCCGATGCATTCGGTTTGACAACAAGAGGATTGTCAGTGGTGCCTATGATGGGTATGTACTGCCATGGCCACAGGGAGAGCCAAAGAAGACGTGTGTGCCGAGCAGCACTGTAGTGCAGGAGCCGTTGCTAGGCACTTCCTGCGTTAAGGGGACGGAAGTGTCGTTACTATTCTGATAGTGAAGTGAGGACGTTCAGACCCAGAGGGCTACATTAAATGAAAAGCCTCTGCACCTCCCAAGCTGATGATTTTGACAGTCATGAGGGAAGTAGGTCTGGTTGCAGCAGAGCTGTTCTTTCCTTACCGCCCAAAACCCACCTTTTTTTTCTGATGAGATTGAGGATACATTTCTACTTTTGATGTTTGCTCAATTGAATAATACGCTTTAAAACCACATATGCTTTTTTAAATGAGGGAATGTTAAACCTTTCGAGATGACTTAGTATGTGTACTTAAGGCCTAGATCTGCATAAGTTCACGTCCTGGTTCTCAGCATTTACTTATCGGAGGTGGGTTGGTAGCCTTGGGGTTTTACTGGTAGCCTAGATTTCTGTCATCAGCATCTACTCGGTCCCAGAGGGTCCCCTGAATAATGAGTGAATTTGGTGACATAAGTTGTTAGCAAGTCGGGAATTGAACTTAGATAATCTAAAGTGATTTTTTTTTTACCTCTTTAAGCATAACATTTCTTCTGAACTTTTATAACAGTTCTGAGAATGTTTAGATCCTCATTTTTCTTTTAAGCTAAGCATTATTGGCTCAGAAACTTGTAAGATCACAAACATGTTGTCCACTACTCTTCAGGGTAGTTGAGAACATGGTAAACTCCCCACTAACCACAATCTCATTTTCCTTTGTAGGAAAATTAAAGTTTGGGATTTGCAAGCTGCCCTTGACCCTCGCGCTCCAGCAAGCACCCTGTGTTTGCGCACTCTGGTGGTACGTGGGCTTTCTCTGTGCTGGTGGGAGCTATCTGCAGATAGCTGCCTGGGTAGAGTAAGCAAGCCGTGTTCCTCACAGCATGCTTTCAGAGAAGTGCACTGTTCAGTTTGCTTAGACAGAATCATGGGCTTTTCTCCCCCTTGTTTTTGAGACAGGGTCTCAGTATATAGCTTAAAATTTACCATTCCCCTATCCTAACCTCCCATGCCAGGATCACAGGTCTGTACCCCTGTGCTGAGCCCCATGTTAGTCACCAACATTACCATAAAAGCTTCCTCCTTTGTAGATACCCTGATGTCTTTATAGGTTTGACTAATTGTCTTCTCCTTAATCTCCCAAAGAGATTTCTGTGTGGTGGTGACATAGTTTCATAATACAGGCACATTTACGTGCTATTAAAGCAGAATTTTCTCTCAATCCACAACTACATGAATTACTGTTTTGGCATGTAGAAATACTCAGTATTTATTTATTAAGTAGTTGTATAAAGGGCTTAAAGTTCCATAAGAAGTACTTTATATTTTAATTGTTGGGCAATAATTAAATGTATATTTGTACGGTGCAATGTGATGTTTTGAGCTACATATACATTATATAGAACAGTTGAGCCAACGTAATTAACATCTGTCACTCTACCAGTTAGCATTTTTTGGAAAAAGTTAAAAACTTAATTTGCCTCTTATGAAATTCACAGTTATTACTCGTTGTGGCCACTGTGCTACAGTAATCACTAAAATGGATTCCTGGAGAGTAACTACAATTTTGTGCCTCTTTCCCCTCTCGTTCCCTCCAACTCTCCCGTCCTCTCCATGTTTCTATAAGATTAACTTTTTTTGTTGTCTTTGGTACTAGGCCTGAGGCTCGGTGCTGTCCCTGAGTCTTTGCTGAAGACTAACTCTCTGCCACTTGAGCCACACCTCTACCTCCAGTTTTTTGGTGGTTAATTAGAGCTAAGAGTTTCATGGACTTTCTTGCCCAGGCTGGCTTCAAAATGCAATCCTCAATCACAGCCTCCTTAGTAGCCAGGATTGCAAGTATGAGCCATTGGTGCTGGCTGAGGTTAGCTTTTTATTAGAGGACAGTCATAAGATCACACCGTGTATGTCTTCCTGAGCCTCGCTATTTCACATATTGCACATCGCAACCTTCAGGTCAATGCAAATGTCAAGATGTGTTTTGCTTTAAAACTGAATAAAGAAGGACTTTTTTTCTTAGAGGTCCTAGGGTTTGAACTCCTTCAGAGCCACACCCCAGACCTCTTTTGCTTTTAGTTGTTAAGATAGGGTCTTGAGTTTTTCCCAGGGCCAGCCTCAGACAGCTTCCCGCCTGCATAGCTGGAATGGCATGTGTGTGCCACTAAGCCCTGATGGCATGCCTGGGCTGGCCTCAGACCTTAGGCGTCTTAATCTCTGTGTTCTGAGTAACTGCTGCTACAGGCATGAGCAAAGACCAACAGTGCATTATTTTTTAAGTTTATCTTATTTGAACAACTTTACCTAAAACTATTTCTAGGACAGTCCATCGTTTTTTTTAAAGAGTTAGACCATCTGAAAATGCTGCTAAATGGTTCTTGTTTTCAGTGATTTTTCTCTTTCATTTCTTCATTTCCTGTATTGTTTAGACCATGCAGAGCGATAGTTAGTTGTCTTGGTAATGCTTCTAATGCTTTGCTCTGGGGGACTGGGCTACCTGTTCTTGCTAGGGGGCACGTTACCTCTTCAGCCATGCTTCAGGACATTTCTCTGTTGGCTGTTTTCAATGCTGGTGGGGCTTTATGCTCTGGCTATCTTGACTGGAGTCCTCCTAATGGTACTGCCCAATGTTGCGGTGTGTTGTGCGCCCCTTGTAGGGGGAGGGCAGGCTCACACCTCTGTACCTAGCCAGGGGTTGAGATGGAGTCTTCTGAACTTTCTGGAGACGAGTCATGGATTTGTCTTCCCAGGCTAGCTCCAAACTGAGATACTCACACCTCAGCCTCCTGAGTAGGCTGGTTCTGGTTTTTACTATTATAAGTGAGTATCAAATATCCTTTTTTATCTTGCCTAAGGCTTTGTGAGATCCTCATGTAATTTTCCTTCCTGGCAAATGGCTAGGATCTGGGCTGCAGCTCACTCAGTGAACAGATGTAGAAGGAAGACTTGGTTCTTTAGTTAGAGTAAAGCTCAAAAATCAAGGAAGCTGTGCAGGAAGCTCAGGTGATCAGCTGGCTTTTGAACTTCTGCTTCATGCTTGTGAGCTGTGAGGGTGGCCTCGGTCTGTGTGTGTGCATGTGTGTGCGCGCACTTGTACACACACACATGCGCGCGTGTGTGCACATGCGCATAGCCGATCCTTAGGCTTGAACTTAGGGCCTGAGCACTGTCCTTGAGCTCTTTTGCTTAAGACTAGTGCTCTACTGCTTTGAGACACCGTTCTGCTTTCAGCCTTTTGCTGGTTAATTGGAGATAGGAGTCTCACAAACTTTCCTGCCGGGGCTGGCTTTCACCCTGGAGCCTCCCGAGCAGCTGGTGTTGGAGACATGTGCCACCCTCGCCTGGATTGCATCTCACCTTACTAATTACGTTGTTGGTCTCACAGGAACATTCTGGACGAGTGTTTCGGCTACAGTTTGATGAGTTTCAGATCATCAGCAGCTCCCATGACGACACTATTTTGATTTGGGATTTCTTAAATGTGCCTCCCAGTGCTCAAAACGAGACACGTTCTCCCTCCAGAACATACACTTACATCTCCAGATAACAGTCTGCACTTTCGCCCACTTCAGGTGCGTATTCCCCACCTATCCCCAGGGCTCTTTTTGTTGTTGTTGGTTGTGGGGCTTGAACTCAGGGCCTGGGCACTGTCCCTGAGCTTCCTTTGCTCAAGGCGGGCACTCTACCACTTGAACCACAGCACCATTTCCAGCTTTTTCTGTGTATGTGGTGCTGAGGAATGGAACCCAGGGCTTCATGCATGCTAGGCAAGCACCTTCCCAGTCCCTCCCTAGTACTCTTTAATCTTGTGGGTTGGTTCACCTCCCTGTGAGGACGATGCGTGACTTCACTTCCACGCTGATATGAATCAAGGTCTGTTAAACGCATCTGCTTTTACAGAGGTCTGGTATAAGACTAGATCTTCATAGTCACGTAAAACCAAGGTCTGACATTAGAATTCTGAGTCCAATTTTAGATACCCTTATTTTGATACTGACTTCTGTGACAGACCTGAAATTTGGACCCTGAGTTTTGGTATTAACAGATGATAAATGTGGTTCTTGTTTTTAAAGGCTGATTTTCCGAAATGAATTCCCCATCAGACTATCGGTCTACTCCTTTGGATTTTATTTTTTAATATAAGAATCTCCTGGGTTGGGAGTATGGCCCAAGTGACATTGCACAAGTAAGCTGACAGCATGGTCCCTCAGTTAAACCCCAGTATTTTACCCCTCCCCCCATCTCCCGTTTCTATTTTTGTTTTCATTAATTCACACAAAAAAACAAACCAAAAAAACCCCACCTTGAGCACCTGTTGTTTGCATTTGTCATCCTAGCTATTTAGGAGGCTGAAGTAGAAGGATCATGGTTAAGGCAACCTGGGCATGAAACCCGCTTCTCATAGTTAGTGGGGTATAGTGTTGCATGTCTGTTACCACAGCTTTATAAGGAGATTTGAGATGAGGAGGATCAAAGTTTCAGGTCAGCCCCAATAGAAAGTTCTCACGAGACTCCATCTCATTAGAAAAGGCCAGATGTGGTACTAGGTGCCTGTCATCCATTTATGGTGGGAAGCATAAAATAGGATTATAGTCCAGGCATGGGCCTACTTGGGAAGTGAAACTCTGTCTCAAGACTAACCAGTGCACATCCATGTTCATTGCTGCACTATTCACCATAGTCAAAATTTGGAAGCAACCCAGATGCCATACAATAGATATGTGGATCCCAAAAATGAGGTACCTGTATACAATGGAATTTTACACAGCCATCAGAAAAAATAAAATAATGTCATTTGCAGGGAAATAGATGGAACTAGAGCAAATCATGTTAAGCAAGGTGAGCCAGGATCAGAGAGACAGATGGCAGAAGTTTGACTGATATACGGAAGTTAGGTCTAATACACACTGGGATATGACAAATTATACAGGATTCTAGATACTCACATACAGTGAGATCAAAGGAAGATCGTTTTAGGAGAGAATCACAAAGGTGCAATGCCCAAGTACCTCTTCATATCTATAAAACAATACAGATTCCAAAACGATCTCCAAAGAAACAAAGGACTCCTTTCTTAATTTGTTTTTCTTTGGCTGATGATTCTGTATTCTTTACCTCATATACAGTGTATGTACGTGCATATCCGTAGGAGGGTGGGAGGAGGGCACGGAATCTGAAGAAAAAGCCCACTGGGCATTGGTGAAAGTGAACTGTACAGCTCATGGGCGGAGATAGGAGGGAGGGAGAGGGAGGGAGAGGGAGGGAGCAGGTTACTTACACCTGATACACAGCCCCTCTGTGTATCCCCTCTATAATACAATAACATAAATTAATACTTTTAAAAGACTAACCAGTACAAAAGAAAAAGTTGGAAGGGTCCCTTAGCAGTAAAGTTCTGCCTACTAGCAAGATCGAGGCTGTAAGTTTGAATCTTAGAACTACTCCCCAAAAAACTCACCCTCACCAAAATAGTCAAAATGCCTCTTTGCCAAACTCAACTTCCATTTCCACAGGATGATTTGAAGGAGATATTTGCTGAAGGAACCCCCGAAGTACAGTCTTCACAGTATTCCCAGTTTGAGAATTTGCAAGGAGCTAGTGAATTCCATGTACATTAAACTTTGTAGATTTAAGACATACATTTAGGCTGGGAAGGTGCCTCAGTGGTAGAGTACTTGCCTTGCATGCATGAGGCCCTGGGTTCCATTCTTCAGCACCACATAAGCAGAAAAAGCCAGAAGTGGCGCTGTGGTTCAAGTGGTAGAGTGCTAACCTTGAGCTGAAGAGCTGAGGGACAGTGCCCAGGCCCAGAGTTCAGGCCCCATGACTGACCAAAAAAAAAAAAAAAGAGAAGAAATATATTTGTACCTATTGCTGCTACTATGACTATGCACATATAAAGAAAAGCTTGTGGCTAAACAAGTTAATACTTACTTTAGAGCACTACTTTGTTCAGAGGGGTGTGGTGTGTTTGTGTGTGTGTTGGAGATTTTTGCTTGTTAGGTGTGCTATATTGCTTGAGCCATGCCTCCGGTCACTTTGCCTTTTGACTCAGGCCAGCCTGGACCACAGTCCTATTTTGTGCCTCCCGCGATAGCTGGGCAGGCACACATGTGCCATCACATCTGCTTTTAGCGTTTTCCGTTAGGTTGGTCTTGCGAGCTTTTCTGCCTCGCTGGCTCCTGCCAGCCTTAGCCTCCCACGTGGTTGGGGTGGCGGGGCGTGCTTCTGCACCAGGCTGTTGTGCCTGGCTTTCCAGCCTCCTTCAGTCTCCCTCCACCTTGGTTCAGACATGTGCCACCTAGCACCTGGCCAACATTATTGGGTAGCTTTTTACCATTTTATATTTTCCTGTTTATTAAGTAATATTAAAAGTACAATGGGGTCCGTGCACAGAGTTGTGAACATTCTTAGTTGGAACTTGTGGTCCCTAGTCACAAAGCTAGTGCATTTTCTGTAGGGTGCTCCCTACTCAAGATCCTATAGATACCTTCTGGGAAGCTTGTTACCAAAGGGTAACAGACTATAGCCAGGTGCCAGATTTGACCCATTCCCTGATTTTTTTTCTTCTTTGTTATCCCATCAGGCTAACAATAGTTTTTACATTTTTAAATAGTTGGGGGGAAAACCCACAAAAGTAATTTTTCCAGGGCGCTGTTGCTAGGTAGGCATTCTGCTAGCCTGTGCCCCAAGTTCCTCTTTTCCATTGTGTGAGCTGTGGCTGTCTGCCTGCTTGGGGCCCCTCTGTGAAGATAGTCGGCTAAGCGTCTCTGCCAGGCCAGCCTCCCTGTCTCAGCCCTGGACTTAGGGTTGTAGACAGAGCCCCAGCGCCAGGGGAGAAATAGTCTTTTATACAGGTAAAAACGAATGAGAAACTTGGGTTCCAGCGTTTGTACATAATGTTTTGCTGAAACATGGCCACACTTCTGTATGTCCGTAGTGTGACTATTTTTGTGTTTCAAAGGCAGAGTTGAGTAGTTGTGACTGAGATGGGGGCAGGCTTTTCACATTTTAAAAGACCTTGGCTGACCTCTGGTCTTCCCGGGCTCTTGAATGACAAGCCCTGTATCAGGATTGGCACATACTGATACCTCAGCTCGATTGGCTGGAGTGCTGCTGCTGTCTTTGGGAGACTTTAGGCCGACGGTTGGTGACTTACACCTTAGGTGTGTGAGGCACCCCGGGAGTCACCTGGACGTCCGTTTATGTGCTGTTCTGGCCTGACATGGTGCGTACTGCTTCTGCTGACAGTGACTGAGCCTTTGCCTTGCTTTCTCTCTGGGTAGATTCTTCGTAAGTCCATAGAAAAATCCACAGGGCTTGAACTCTGGGCCTGGCGCTGTCCCTCAGCTCTTCAGCTCAAGGCTAGCGCCCTACCACTTGATCTGCAGCGCCACTTCTGGTTTTCTGAGTGAGTTTATCGGAGATAAGAGTCACAGAATTTTCTGCCCAGGCTGGCTTTGAACCTCAATCCTCAGATCTCAGCCTCCTGAGTAGCTAGGATGACAGGCGTGAGCCACTGATGCCCGGCTGAATTCTTTACACTGAATGGAGTCTTCACAGCAGCATGATAGAGGATTGTTCCTTTTCACAAAGGGTCTGAAGAAAGTATAGGGGAGGAAGAGGGATCAGATAGCGCTGGACTCCCCTGAGGTTTTCCTGGTCCCTCCTGTTGTGCAGCTGCTCCCAGCCGCTCCCACCTCCGCCCCTCCCTGGCCCCCTGGTGTCCTCAGGTTACCTTCATTTCTTACCCCACTCCTGTTCCCCGTCTCTCCCTTCCCTAACAGCACTGATTCTATCTAGACTGAGTTCTGGTTACTGCTTCAAACCTCTTTCCTCCTACCCCTCCAGTGTCTTTAATGACACACAGACTTCTCTCTGGCTGAGCTGTGTGTTGAAATGAGTTACTGCCTCCTTACAAACCTGCGGCGCTCTCGTATCCCAGCTGGTGTCCAGTGTGTTACAGCACTCACTGATGCGGGTTGGACAGGGGCATCAGGGCTAATACATTGGTGTTCTTCATCCCAGGCCAACCAGTAATCTGCTTATAAATCAATAAATATCTGAAACTACAAGCAATCACCTTCAGCAAATAGGGTTATTAACTTGGTAAAAACTGAAAGACATTTTCTAACTAGATAAGTACTAGATCTATTTCTACACACGCAGGTGCTTATGTCTTTGTCTCCATCTTTCCTGTCCGTTTTACCTGCTCCATATCCGTTTTTATTTGACTTGGTGTTATTTAGGTATAGTTAAAGTGTATTGACTGATTAGTACTTTGAAATAGTTATATACTGGTCACTATAACAGTGGCTGCTGTATTTGAATCAGTGTAATTTAAAAAATTGTATTTTTCGTCTTTGTATTTAGATCTTTGTCCCATTTAGTATTTTTGTGTATGGTGGAAGAAAGAAATTGTTCACTTTGTGTATAGATATTTTAGTTCTAGCACTATTAAAATGATGATGATTTTTTTTTTTTTTTTTTTGTGGTCTGGGGTTGAACTCCAGGCTTTGTGCATGTTAGGCCGATGCTCTACCACTTGAAGCGTATTCCTGTCCTTTTTGCTTTTAATAGTTTTCAAATAGGGCCTCCCATGTAAGTCTAGGTCCCCAGGACCGCGACCCAGCTTTTCGTGGTTGAAATGGAGCCTGGTGAAGTTTTCTGATCCCTGCCCTGCAAGTAGTCAGGAATATAGATGTGAGCCTCCATGCTCAGCGCTAGCACTGACACTGATGAAAGAAAAGGTAGGTTTATATTGGTCTGTATTCTGTTCCTGGGCACACCAGTACAGACCGTGTCCTTCTGCCGGCCCCATGCTATATAGGACATCGAGGGACCGCTCGAAAGAGAAATAACAGTGCATAAAATAGCACTCCGTTGACCAAAGGACATACAGTAAAATACTATCTGATGGGTTTCATAATATAGAATCCGTGCGCTTTCACAACTGCCTTGAGAAATGAAGCAGGGATTATTAGTGCATTTCCCCTTGGCCTTAGTGGAAAATTGATGTTACTTCTTCTGTCCTACTGTTTGGGGCCTCAGAACCATTGGTTCTGCTACGATGTGCAGTTTCAAGTTCATTTCACAAATTCTTTCAGTCCTGCCTGTTTTATGAGGTAGTAGTTCCCTAACCCTCACAAGCCATGAAACCACAAACGTGTTTGTCTCTTCAAAGGGAACTACTTTTGACAACCTTGGCAGTCTACTTTACAGATTTTATTGCTCTTTTCCAAATTCTTTTATTGTAATAGGAAAAATAATTACCAAATGATACTAAAAGATTTATATATGCACATTCATATATATAAAATAAAAAATATTACCTTAGAGATAATTTAACTTAGTAAAATATTTCACCTCTCTGTGTCAGGAAATATAGTAATAGACTTGTTTCCCAAATCTTTTTTTTTTTTTTTTTTTTTGGGTCCGGTCGTGGGGCCTGAACTCTGGGCCTGGGCGCTGTCCCTCAGCTCTTCAGCTCAAGGCTAGTGCTCTACCACTTGAGCCACAGCACCACTTCCAGCTTTTTTCTTTTTGCTTATATGGTGCTGAGGAATCGAACCCAGGGCCTCGAGCATGCAAGGCAAGCACTCTACCACTGAGCCACCTTCCCAGCCCCTCCCAAATCTTCTTTAAAATTACTAATTCCTAAGAGCTGTACAGACAGTAGGGATAAGTTTATTCTCTTTTTTTCTTTTTTCCTACCACAAGGTAATATGATTATTAGGAAATTAGAAAGTTAGATATGCCCAAAAAAGAATAGAAACCACTATGGTTTATCAGTGTTACTGTCTTAACTGTGATTTTTAATTACGATTTTAAACTGTTCTTATTTTTTTTCCTTATTGTGAAATTATTGCATGTTAATTGCCCACACCTTCTCTCCCTCTGGATGAAATTCTGAAAGTGTTGGTCCTAGCTAATGATGCTTTGGAAGAGTCGGGTCAGAGGGGGCATTTGGCCTTGCCTCGACAGTCTCTGGTTTCAGAGAGCGCAGGTATGCAGAAGCCCCTTTAAGGGGAAAACATTTGATAGCTTGAATTGATTCAGGAGTCTTGATCCTTATGAGCGTGACAACCTCTTGTAAAAGTGCCTGTATAAAAAGCACACGTGCTTTTAAAATACTCATATTTTTGCCGGGGAATTTTGTATCTAAGGTGACTAGATCTTCTGGCAGTACACTGGCTTAGTGCAGTGTTTGGAAAGACTGTGATCATCGTTGATTGTGAAGTAACTTGAGAGGATTTTGACTTTGTTTTTATTTAGATCAGAACATATCAACTTTAATCACAGATACTAATGAGAAGCATTGCCTTCCTGTATATGTACATATACATATTTACATAGTGAAAGAAATCATGACTTTGGGGGGAGGGGGGTCCGGTCATGGGCCTGAACTCTGGGCGCTGTCCCTCAGCTCTTCAGCTCAAGGCTAGCGCTCTACCACTTGAGCCACAGCGCCACTTCTGGCTTTTTTTCTTTTTGCTTATGTGGTGCTGAGGAATCAAACCAGGGCCTCATGCATGCAAGGCAAGCGCTCTACCACTGAGCCACCTTCCCAGCCCCAGAAATCATGACTTCTACATTCATCTGTTGTGTGTAAATGTGTGTGTTCTACCCCAAGACCATAATCAAGAAAGTAGGGAACATTTGGTAGCTCCCCTCCCCCCCCATGTTGTCCTTCCACAAATTATGTATCTCAGAAGGTTATTTTGCATGATTAGTGAGTGGTCTGCCTAGCACTATGAGTTTATTTGTTTTGCACAGGGATCATTGAGGGCACTCCTGCAAGCCCTCGGGTGTCACGAAAAATGTGCTGGATAAAAAAACCTAGTATTAGGCATTTGGGTTGAACGTGTACTTTTTAGTAGCATCAGTACAAGGCCGTTGGTTGTGGAGTCAGCCTGCTCTGAATCCTGCTGTCACCTAAATGGCTACCCCTTTGGAGTAAGCATGTGCTTTTTTCCCTCTTAGTTTTACTTACAAAGGGGCTTATCTAATAGTAATTTCTAATTCTTCAGGTTGTTTTAAGTTTAAATAAGTAGGGTGTCTGGTTGCAGTAGCCACAGTACAACTTAGGGCTTCTTCCCTAGGTTGGCTGTTGGAGATCCAGTTGTCAGTTTGTGTCCTGGTGTGTCTGTGGTGTGGATGAGCGTGGGTGTGCGGATTGCATGCCCTCGTCTAACTAGAATAAACAGCCTTACACCTTTGTCTTTCAGGGTTTCCTAGTCTTGAACTACTGGCTACATGGCTACCAGATGCCTAAGTGAGTTTGTTCACAGCTGGGTTATGAAGCTGGACTGGTTCTAGACGCTGGGTAGATGCAAAGCAGCCTCACTCTCCAAGCCCCGACCTTCCTCACCGCCGATCTAGGCTCTACTTGAAGGGTTCCTTCGCCTCACTGATTTCAAGTGGAGCTTCAAGTAGAGCCCATCAGTGATGAAGAACTAGTGCTTCAACTGAACACTGTTCACACGAAAGGCATTTCTGGTCTGTTTTGTTGAAGTAAACTGGCCGTCAAGAGAAGACCCGGCTTCTAATTTATATTGCTTTGCACTTTGGTCTGATACTAAGAAACAACATTCTTCAGTGAAATTTTGGGTGCCAAACCACCTACCCAGAATGTCGAGGGCTTTCCTTTTCAGAAGTTAGCATTCTCCTTTGACCGTCCAAGTCGTTACAAATTCTGACTTCTATTAGGGTATGTTGGACAATGGGAAAATCTCTCTGGGTTATTTTAGTAATGTCTTTTGCTTACACTTCCTTTCTGTACCAATTTCTTTTAATTTAAAGAACTCTAAGCCAGTTATATTTTCTCTCCATAGAGAGTATAACTGTTTTCTTTTATTAACTGTCGTCTGTCCCCAACCATCTTCTGATTATTTGATAGAGTGACATCTTTCTTTGTATGCTTGCCTCCTAATTTAAAGTACCGAATCCACATGTAGATACAATGTACATAGCAGTTTCTCCTGAAGATGGCTGGAGTCGGCCCTGTGCCCCAGACACTAATGCAGTGTGTTGGGAGCCCGGCCGCAGGGTTGATGGGATTGCCTAGGACCCTCCTGCAGTATTCATGTGGTGTTTTCATTTTGTCACTGTCATTGTGTGTGTGGTATGTGTATTTGTAATGGAAATGTTGTTTTAAAATGTAACTGCTCAAGTTTAACACGGAAATGTTTTATGTTGTCACGCAGTATATGCAATAGGAGGAACCTTAACATTAAGCTTTTGTTGTTCCTTCCCTTCTCCCTCCCACCCTGCTGGTTGGCTTTGTCCTCAGTGCAGTCCTCTGTGCAGTGGTGCCCCGAGAAGGGGCCAGCACAAAGACCCTGTTGACGGGGTTCACTGGCTCTGGGGCTGCTGGCGAGCAGGTCAGCTGGCCCTGTGTCCCCGCCGGGTCAGGTCAGTGCCCTGGTCAGGGCAGTGCGGCCTCCGCGGGTCATCATCGGCTGCCCTGCAGTCAGTGAGGTTGGCCCTGCCTGCCAGGCCGGCCCTGCGTGGAAAGGACGCCCTTTTTCCTTCTTCCAATATTAGGTGTTAAGTTGACTCCCTCTCCTGCTTCCAAAGATGAAGGAATGTCACTGTTACTTTAAAGGACCAATGGGGGCCACCTTGTGAACAAGGCCCCTGGCCAGGACGTCTCAGCCAGGGCAGGGAGGCCCCTGACCGCCCGGCCTTGAGGATGGTGTGAGGATCAATGGGCGTGTGTAGAAGATGTGTTCATCTGGTCAGCTTTGCTTTTTAGTTGTTTGTTTTTTTCCTTTTTCACTACATACTTCTCATGTGTTACTAAATTAACTTTGTTTTGGAGAGGTTGGGTCTCAAAGTGTAAAAGAAAGAAATCTCCATTCATGAGGTGGGCATGGTGACCACAGTGGCTGTGAGGGTAAGGCCACCTTTCAAGGAACAGCTCTGCTCCCAGGCTGGGGAGAGCCTAGCGGTCAGCGGGGCAGGGCGAGGCGGGCGGGGCGGGCGGGGCGTGTGAGCAGATGCCGGTTCTGTTGCTTTTGCATGTTTAATACAGAAGTTCTCTTGACCCTTGGGAAATCATGACCTTTGAATATACACACAAACTTTGAATTGTGCCTACTAAGTTATAGCAGGGGGCTTTGGGCACCCAAGAATTCCAACTTTCTGGGGTTACAGTAGTAATTCCCAGCCATACTCTGGACTTTATTTTGCTAACCATAATTGAGCAACTGTAAATTACTGCTATATTAATGTTTTAAAGCACTGGGATAGTCTAATTCTAACTTGTAATTAATTATGTTTGCCAATTATCTGTTTGAAATAAATTTGTGTCTGAACAGCTATTGAAACTGTTAAGTTGTACAGATATTATTCATGACAGCTTTGTACTGTGGAATGTGCTTAATAAAAAAGCAAAAAGTTTGACCTTTGTCCAATAAATTGCTAAGTCATGTCAATAAATCAAGAATGAGTATTAAGCAGTATCCCTAATCTGGCTTCATGCAATTGTTACTCCAGCTACTAATTCAAAGCCAATACTCTTAATAAAGTGTTGCAATACTCTGATGTTCTGTTAAGAAATTTTTCAGATAGACAGTTATGTGCTATCAGGAATTCAGTGGTATGCCATTACAGTTGACGGGATTAAAAATCGCCTTCTCTTTGAAGTGACGTTGGAGGCATGGTGCTTTTGTGAGGAGGTGGGAGATGATTGAAGTCCTTGCCACGGGCTTTGGCTGAAAAGTAGCTTGAACTCAGGAGCTCGGCACGGATCTGCTTTCTGCACGGGCTTGCTTGTTTCATGCTACTGCGCACGCAGGCAGAAGGCCTCCTTGATGTCCCGAGCGGCTTACAGGTGAGTGGAGCTGGCTGATGGGAAGGGGACGGGAGCGGTGCAGTTGTGCGGTGCTCTCGCGTGGCTCTGCGCTACCGCTGGGGCCGGGCTTCAGCAGAGTTGAGGTCCTGAGGACCTTGGGCGCTGGCCTTTCCACATTGGTCAGCCAACCCACTAAGGACTTTTTGGATGAAATTAGATTTTCCCCCCAGTCCTGGGGCTTGAACTCGGGGCCTGGATGCTGTTCCTGAGCTTCTTTTGCCCAAGGCAAGCGCTCTACCACTTGAGGCACAGCTTCACTTCCTGGTTTTTGGAAGTTAGTTAAAGATCCGTCTCACAGACTTTTCCTGCCTGGCTGGCTCCAAACTGGCAATCCTCGGTTCTTAGCCTCTTGAGAAGCTAGGGTTACAGGTGTGAGCCACCCAGGCCCCAGAAAGAAATTAGATAATTTGATGGAGTCATCCCCGCCCATATTGCTAAGTATATAGTGTGTATCACATTAAGAAAACATGCAAACCATAAAGAATAAATAATTCTCGCTCTGGGCCTAGTCTTCCAACATATTAACCAGTTTCTTGCCTATCCTTTGACAGGTACACTGTGTGTATAGGATTTATGTGTGTGTACACACACCCCCCTCTAATGGTGCTGGGGACCAAACCCAGGGCTTTGTGCATGCCAAGTATCACTGTGCCAAGCACCCTTACTTTAACTGCAGTGGAACTTGCTATACGGGACTTGTGTCTGCTGCTGAGGAGATCATTGGTTGTGAGTACATGTAATGCTGCCTCATTTTTAACAGCTGTGTGGCATTTGGGTGTCATCAAAGGTAGAGATTTGGTCTTTCTACTTTTCTAGTGCTGGTAGTCTTTTCCACAGGTCTTCCTGTCTTTGGCCGTGCTAATCCCTAAGACACAGCTGAGCGGAACCAAGCCTCCAGAGTGGGAGAGCAGGAGTTGGTGCCGCACTGCACGCCAGCCTCACCCCACTGTTTGCTGCACTCTTGGTTATCTAGTCAGTCGAGAGGTGCTCTGCGGTGGTTTTCTAGTTAATAAGGAGATGGGAATTCTGGCCATCTGGCTGGTATCCTGCTTACTGATGAGCTTCCTAGAGATCCCTACTTTTAAGTCTGCTTCCCTGGCTGATGCCCTGGGGGGCACGGGCCCAGATCTGGACGGTCTTGCAAAGATGGAGACACAGTGGCGCTGGCTTTACATTAAGAAAAGCTACAAGTCTAGATTATGTAAACACTCAGTTTATAAAAGCTGTCAACTAGTGAAACCTGTAGCATTCGTTTGAGTCTCTGATTGAGTATGACTGTAAGCATTTTTATCAGAGGCCGTGGACGCCTTGTGTCCAAGTTTGAAGCACTGAATCACGTAAGCCACACCTGTGGCCGTAACCAGTTTATAGCACACTCAGGATGTGTGTCTTTGAAGAGTGATCCCAAAAGAAGTATTTTGAAGAAGATGAGCAAGGAGCCTAGAGCTGGCAGCCACTCATTGTACTCAAACCAGCGACTGCTTTTGGGCTGGGTTGAATTCATGTTAAGGTGAGGCTTGATTCAGGCCTGAGATGACCCTGGTCTTTTAGGAGCAGATGGAGGGCTTGTTTCTGAAGAGCTCCAGCCGGGTTGTCTTGGTTTTCCGCAAAGCCAAGTCTTGCGCTGCGGAGCCTGAACCCGTGAGGTGAGGTGTGTGGATGGCCAGCCGTCATGTTCTCAGTCGCTGCTGGACCTTCGACCTTGCTGGGGGTCTTTTCACAAGGCACCCTGTCTAGCATCTGGCCTAGGAATCTGCCCGTCTGGGGCTGAAGCCCTGCTGTCATGGGCAGCAGACTCCTGGGGTGAGGGCATTTGTTACTTTGAATGAACCTAAACTTTCTGGACTAGAAAGCTCAGTAAGAGAGACTGTATTTTAAGATTCCTGTGATAGTTGTGCAAATACCACGGGAGACTGACTGCCGGCGTTTAACCAGCGCCCGGCCCCGAGGGCACACGGAGCTTTGGCTGGTGTGGTAGGGGCAGCGGGATGTGATCACCCAGTCAGCAGACATGGGAGCTGTTCCTGGGAAGAGCTGGCAGTTCCCAGGGAGGACCTGCATCAGCAGCCAGGGTCTGCAGCGTCGAAGGGAGGTGAGTAGGAGAACAGGACCATTTTCATTCAGTGGTCATGTGATTTGTACTGAAGTCCCGAGGCTTTAAAGGCAACCTGTCATTCCCAGGCTCTGGGAAGAGAACGAGGCCCACACGAAGCCGCGTGCTGCTTCCAAAGCAGCCCGCGGGACGCTCACGTCTCCAGTGTGTGTACGTGCGCGTGCATGTCTGTGTGTCTGTGCGTGCAGGTGGCAGGCCATATAGGGCTGAGAGTGGGAAGCGCCAGCACATTCGTGTGTGTGTGTGTGTGTGTCTGTGTCTGTGTCTGTGCAGGTGGCAGGCCATATAGGGCTGAGAGTGGGAAGCGCCATCACATTTCTGTGTGTGTGTGTGTGCGCGTGCAGGTGGCAGGCCATATAGGGCTGAGAGTGGGAAGCGCCATCACATTTCTGTGTGTGTGTGTGTGCGTGCAGGTGGCGGGCCATATAGGGCTGAGAGTGGGAAGCGCCATCACATTTGTGTGTGTGTGTGTGTGTGTGTGTGTGTGTGCAGGTGGCAGGCCATATAGGGCTGAGAGCGGGAAGCGCCATCACATTTCTCTGTGTGTGTGTGTGTGTGTGTGTATGTGTGTGCAGGTGGCAGGCCATATAGGGCTGAGAGTGGGAAGCGCCATCACATTTCTCTGTGTGTGTGTGTGTGTGTGTGTGTGTGTGTGTGTGCGTGCGTGCAGGTGGCAGGCCATATAGGGCTGAGAGTGGGAAGCGCCATCACATTTCTCTGTGTGTGTGTGTGTGCGTGCGTGCAGGTGGCAGGCCATATAGGGCTGAGAGTGGGAAGCGCCAGCACATTCGTGTGTGTGTGTGTGTGTGTGTGTGTGTGTGTGTGCAGGTGGCAGGCCATATAGGGCTGAGAGTGGGAAGCGCCATCACATTTGTGTGTGTGTGTGTGTGTGTGTGTGTGTGTGTGTGTGTGTGTGTGCGTGCAGGTGGCAGGCCATATAGGGCTGAGAGTGGGAAGCGCCATCACATTTGTGTGTGTGTGTGTGCAGGTGGCAGGCCATATAGGGCTGAGAGTGGGAAGCGCCATCACATTCGTGTGTGTGTGTGTGTGTGTGCGTGCAGGTGGCAGGCCATATAGGGCTGAGAGTGGGAAGCGCCAGCACATTCGTGTGTGTGTGTGTGTGTGCGCGTGCAGGTGGCAGGCCATATAGGGCTGAGAGTGGGAAGCGCCAGCACACTCGTATGTGTGTGTGTGTGCGTGCAGGTGGCAGCCCATATAGGGCTGAGAGTGGGAAGCGCCAGCACATTCGTGGGTGTGGGTGTGCACACGCACGTGTGAGCGCAGGTGGCAGGCCAGCCGTGGAAGTGGCCGGAGTGGGGGGCCGGGCTGGGTGGGAAGGGTTGCAGGTACCCCAGTGCTGGTTCTTGATCCCTTGCCTGTGTGTGGCGAGGCCTAGCAAGGCCGGCCGTGGGTGGGTCTTGGTGACAGCGCTGACCCCGCCCAGGCAGCCCCAGTGTCTCCTTCCCCACACCTGGGCACCGCAGGAGGCAGGCCGAGCGCGGAGAGGTGAAGCTGGGGGCCGGCCGGCCGGGGGGCACAGCCCAGGGCCATTGGAGGGGTCGGGCTCCACCCTGGGGCTAGGGTCAGGATGTAGGGAGGAGAGGCTGAGGGCAGCGCACAGAGCCATGAGAGAGGCTGTTTGAAGTTAGAGATGGGAGGAGGAGGAGGCCGAGCAGGCAAGGCCAGCCCTGTTGTGAGAGTGCAGCTCTCCTGAGTACCACTAGGTGGGGCTGCTGTGCCCTGGGAAGGCACCTGACACAGGCCTTGACCAGGTGGACGGTTGACCTCGCGTGGTGGCTAGGCTGGAGTGGACACCTGAGCCGGGCCCTGGTGACCCACAGTGAGCCCCGGGAGCCCTCCCGGGCAGAGACACAGGCAGACGGGAGGGGCCCAGCAGGAGCAGACAGTGGGCTGCCTGGAAAAGGGCCTGGGGCCGCGGCTTCTGAAGGAAGAGTCCAGAAGAGCAGCTACATGTAAGTAAAAGGGCTCAGGAGGGCAAACCTGTGGCAGAGCGCTAGACTGGTGGAGCTGCGGTAACTGGCCGTCTTCGCGGGGCCTCGTGTGCCCTGAGGACCGGAAGCTCTGGAGGATGCCTCCCGGCTGCCAGGGCCTCCTGGGGCCTGCCACTGATCCCGCTGCTGCCCAGGGCTGCAGCCGTCACGGGTGGCATGCGCACGCACGCGGGCCCTGGTCACGGCACGTCTGTGCAGACAGAGGGGATCAGGCCTGTGCCTCGGGAGCCATCGGGACTTTCCCAGCAGAGGCAAAAGCATTTTATGGAATGGGCTGTGAGGGTTCCTTTCAGGAAATTTCATCATGTCTCCGTGAAGGGGAGCGGGGAGGGAGGGCGAGGAGCTAATTGGCCTCAGACCCTGCAGCCCCCCTGTGTGGGTAACGCGGTCCAGGTCAGCCTCCGGTCAGCGACCAGGCCATTGGTGCCCCTCTGTGAATGCCTCGTTGCTGTAATCGTTTTTCCTTTAAAAACAGCGCTGCCTCCTTTGGCAGATGGTGACATTCCATTAGCATATGGAATACTTTTCAAAACACATCCGAAAGCGCGTCTTCGACAGGAGCC